GCCATGGCTAATACAACCTGAACAAACATCATTCGAACATTCTGCCACTTCTGGAAAGAACCTCACCACCGCCGTGCTCAATTCTTTACGTGCTGGCTCTTGCTTCGGTTGAACTGCCCAAGATCGCTTAGATTGCTGCTCAGCTTGCTGCTCAGCGTTGCTAATCTTGATCTAGTACCCTCACTCAAACGCCTCAAACGGTCACCGTTGCCACTCCAATAACTGTTACCTCGACGCCACCGGCTAGTACATTCGTAAGTCTCACCTCCCATGTGCATTGAGACGGCCTGCTTACCACACATCAGACGCAACCGACTACAACAGTAACCACCACTACTACTACTTTCCCCGTAACTGTCACCAGCAATGGTACAGTTATTACAACAACCACACAATCGGCAATCATTATAACCACGACTGCAACTCAGCCAACGACGACTACTGAGCGAACAACAGGGTAAAATCAACAAGTCCATCCTCGATTAACCCTTTTTCGCTAACTTTGCTTTAGAACGGTCACCGAGACCCCAGTCGCTGTCACCACGACACAGAGCGTTACGCAATCAGTGACGACAACATTTGTGACTACAAGTACCTTGCCTGCTTCAACGATTACACAGACCAGCACCATCCGAACTACAGCAACAGAGACAAGCGTTTCGACGTTGACTCCGGCTCCTGTCACGCAGGTCACAACTTTGACCCAGACAACTGCCACACCGACAACCGTTACGTCGAACGGAACTGTCACTGTCTACAGTACCGCGTAAGAATAGCACCTCTGGTCTATCAGCGCTCAGCCGAGTGCTGAACGACTTGAGGAGAATCTAAATTCAAAGAGCCGCTCACTAACACCTTACAGGACTCCTGCACCTGTCACATCGACGGTCTCGAACCACAATCTCGACCACGATCACGCAGAGCACGTAAGTCCACAATTTCTTTTGAGCAGTTCAACAAGAGCAAGTTTTGTACATCATGGTATAGTATGCACGTCATGCAAGATCATCACAGTCGACGATGTTTTCAATGACTGCGGATCGACAAAGACCGGATCTGGATATTCCCGGACACATCATCTGCAACCCATTCCAGGACACATCATCAGCGACTTACCCCAGGATACTTCATCAACGACATGCTGAGTATCGAGGTGACCCTGACAACAGAGGGCTATCTTCAGCCCGACGTTTTCAAGCACTCAGGTATTTATCAAGACATTGCTCATATGACTAACCCCTTCATGCAGTATGCCCATGTCCTACTCCTACATCAACACAATCGTGAGTCGATTTCTACACTGCATAGCTATGATGTCATGGCGACTTACTCACGATTCTCTTAGACCTCTTGTGCAACCACCGAAACTGCTGTTACGACGGAGTACATGACAGGTCCTACGGTTACACGAAACACATCGTCCACGTTCACCGTCACCAAGTGAGTCATTGCTTACTAATATATCAGACCATGGACTGACTACTTCATTGCAGCACTGTCACGTCCCGACAGGATGTGCCCACGACGATCACAATCAGACCTGAGCCAATCACTGTCACTGAATCCTACAGCTGTAAGCTATCGCACTTCGATCGAAGCAGAGCATGTGCTAACGTAGACTAGCCGTTGAGACTAGAACTGAGCAAGTCACTGGTAAGTTTTTGGTCGCAATATGCAGGCCATAGCCCACTAATCTCGTGCTTTAGCCACTGTTACGTCCACTTCCACGATTACTCGCGCGGCAGATGCACCCGCCTCAAGTGTGACGAGCGTCTCAACGGTTACTAGTACATCCGTGCAAGATCAGCAGACAATTACACTTACCAGCATCTCAACGATCACCAGCACATCTATTCAGGATCAGCAGACGATTACAGTTACGAGCACCGTGCCGACGACACGCACGCTCCTCCGAACAACTATCTCGACTTCTACGATTACATCGGTGCCACAGCCGCAGACCAGCACGATTACAGGCGACGCAGTGACGCGAACTATCACACGGAATGTCATCTCCACTCGTACTCAGATATCGACTCAATCCGTTCCCACAACGGTCACCGTGAACCGTATCTCCACCCGAACAATCACCATCACCTCGGCGGCTGCTACGGTCACTCAGACCTCGGTCCAGTCTGTCAGATCCACGATCACAGTGAATCGCATTTCGACTCGATCAATTATTGTCACCTCAACGATCCCGAGGACAATCACCTCCCAACCGTCTTTCCACAAGAACGATTACGTCAAATCGACTCTCCACAAGGACGATAACGGCTGCGGCAGCGACGGTTATTCAGACCTCCACCCAATCTGTCCTGAGAACAGTTACAGTCAATCGTCTCTCGACACGGACAATTACCTCCAATCGTCTCTCGACACGAACAATAACGAATCAAGTCGTCCGGACCACAACACAACCGACCACGGTTACATTGAACCAGGTCTCTACTCAAACGCTCACCCCGCCAGCCCGCACGATCACAATCAACAGGATCACCACGCGCACTGTGTTCCAAGAGATTCCGACAACGACCACGGAGACACGCACGGAGACAGTCACAGATGGCCAGCAGAACAAGAGAGCTGCAGGGTGGTTCGAGAACATAGGACGTCGATAGAGCCCGACGGAGCCACGAGGGGGAGGATGAGTGAATGATTATGAAAAGTTGTTTTATTCTGGATTTGCATTAGCGATTTCCTTCTCAGATTGCCTGTCAGCGCGGCGAGATGCGAGTTGTATTTATAGTTTCTTGGAGGCGTTTTAATATGATCTCTGTACTTCAATTGAGCGAGAGCTTACTTCCGTGCGAGTCACCTGTGTTGATGGTGATGGTCGCTGCTTGCTCTTTCGTTATCGATTTACTTGTGCTAATGATATGTTGCAGCCTTATCTAACGCAACCAGCCTTTTGGTTAGTTTTTGCAAGCCTCTTTCAGATCTTGTGCAAGGAAGGGTGTAAAGCGGCATCTGTCATCTTCCTATAAGCCATAGCGACTGCTTACATCAGATCACGATGAAATTGGGCCGTAGCAAGAGTCACTATCGCGAATTCGACTGAGCTCTGCTCATTGGACGTGATCAGTGCATGAAACTACAGACAGCAAACAAAGGAGGTCGAAAGGTTTTCCAGTTTGAATGAGTCTGTGGTTTTACGCTATCCAACTTCTTGCTTCCCTCGTGAACCTACTTTCGCAGATCGCGATGCCTTCAAGGAAGGCTGTGCTATTAGCCAGCGTCAAAATTCACGCTCGCCCGGGACCTGCACGATACAAGCTGATAGTCTTTGGGTGAATATTTGTCATACGCTTAGAAAGCTGACTTTACGTTCTTTTTGCAACTTTACCACGTGCTGATAAGCTGTCGACTCTATCCAGGGTGGGATATCAGATGAGCGCTGCTCTTTGACAGTGTATTGATTAGAACAGAGCGTGCACGAATAAATGTAGCTCTTGATGTACCTTATAGCTACCATGCAGCTTAAGGGAGAATCTCTAAGATTCGAATGACCGCTCCCCGCGGAGACTGCTTTTTCTTCGCCGCCTTCACCTGCTCGCGCATGGACCACATGGCCTGTGCTTCAGACTAGCCCACCAAAGCACGCAGATACATTCTAGTACCTTCTTCCTGCTCCAGAAGCGGACAAACAATGGAAAGCAAGAGACGATCTCACCGAGGACGATCACGTGGAGATGACTAGTCTCTTCGGAGGAAAGACTAGGGGGAAACTTGCTCCTACTATCTTCAACGACAAAGGGCAATTTCGCAGACAACTTGGGCATCTGAACAGTCGGATCAAGAGATCAGAAGAGAAGACACAGAAACCTGGAATGCGTCGAAACTCGGATCTCATCGCGGACATGACGATCGAAGACGTGCAGATTAAGTGCTCAGCCTGGAAAACTTTCCCCGCTAAGTTCACTACTAGCTTGATCTTTGTGTTTACACGAGCAAGTGGTGAGGCACCGAGCGGCGGAAGAGCTGGCATGTTCCGTCGGGCCCAGGTGGCCGGAGAGGCATTCGCCGCGCTTCTCGGACAAAAACGTCCCATCCTGTTTGCTATTCCGAGATGCAGAGTGAGCAGTCGAGCATACCTGTTTAACGAGAAAGGCGAGCGAACAGGCGAGCCAGGACACAGCTTAAAGGAGCTCTGGGACGTCCTTAAAGTAGCTAAACCAGACCGAGATATTTATCTCGTTTGCGTCGGTTTAGACGCCTTTACGACAAACGTTCAGAACTACATCACTATTGCGAAGTTGTACGACCACCTCTCAATTACGATTGTCGTTGTCGTCAACGAATACTTCGCTGGCTCAAAGTCTTCCGGAAGGCAGGCGGCAGAACATGCCTGAGGCTGGGGTCAAACCATCGATTCTGGCGGCGGAGGGTTGATTGATGTCCAAGAGGGAACGCGATATCAACAGGAAGGCGGCCGAAACATATCTGGCGAAGATTTGTTGAGGGCGGCTGGCGTCTTTGTACCTGTCATCACATAATTTGTTCATACGTGCTGGAATACCTCAAATAATTACCGTTGCCCCAGACATGCCTGAAACTTCTGCGTGGGTAGCCAGGACGCCACATAAGGCAACGCAGATACTGGCTGGCGCTGCCCAATTTTTGGGCTACCATTCGGTAGTCTGAGTCTGTGGTGCGGCGGATTCAGTATCTGCCGGAGCCTTCGTGTGCGGTTAGACATCTGAATCGTCTAAGTATCGAATTGGCGCCATCGACAGCCGTTCTTTGCATCGGAGGTACATGACCAAGAGTCCGTCGATATTTGCGCGACTCAAAAATACACAGCATGCGCGAGTTGATGAGAGCTGGAACACTTTGACATACTTTCGATCTCCTGTAATACGCCGCAAGCTCACCGGGTTCCATTGTGCCAGAAGATGCGGATAGGGATTTGTGACGATTTGGCCGTTCTCATACCACCTGCGTGCTCAGTCCCCGGCAAAACCCGCCTGTCATACCTTTCCATTCAGCCCAGCCTTTGTATCTTCAACTACTTTGCGCTCAGTGGCAGATTATACAACAAGTTTGTAAAGCTAATCAGGATGCTCTGAAAGATACTCAAGAAGTGCCAACACTGCTTCCTTTGGCTCCCTTGAAGGCAACATAGGCATTCCTGATGCCTCGCCCCTTCGATGTCCTGCTGGCATCGTCATCTAAGAGCATCATGTTGATATAGCCTGGCATGGATCGTGGATACCCCCTGTTGGTATGGAGAGTCGATAGTTCGTCGTAGTGCGCAAGATCCTAACAATGAATAGTCAGGGATGACAATAAGCATCCAAAGGGGTATCCTTCGCGTTCAAAGCATCTTGTCTTTTAAGCATTGCAATGTGCGACTTGCAGATCGAGTCCACTAATTGCATGACCTCTACATCCAGCTTTTCTAGCGTTCGTAGAGGGTTGTTTAGGAACTATGTGCGGGAGTCTGAAGGGGAGTCTGGAGAGGAGTCTTTGGGAGTGGAAGACTTGGCTCCCTTTCTGAGGTGGTCCATGAATGCTCTGTTGTTCTTTTCTTGATCGAAATTAAAGTATGTAGTAGAGGAGTAGAGGAGTAGAGGAGTATAGAGGAAGAGCAAGTAGATAGGACGGGGGAGCGGCAGGGTGGTTAGTCAGAGGTTGTCGGTGGCGCTTATCGCAGCTTTACACTTTACACAAGGTGAATGCGGAAATTTCTCGTCTTACGCAACGAGCAGAGTTTTCCTAGCGGCCACGTGGCTGTATGTTGTCGACCGCAGGTGAATGACTACTCACACAAAGCTGTACAAGCGAGCCTCAACTTTCGACTTAGTTGCACCTCCACAACGACAAGAACAGCAACGTGGGATATTAGCAATGGCAGAGCGACGCAGGCTATACAGTATGTTCGCCATATTAAACACGTCGAACCTAGACTAACATACTCAGCCTTCACACTACCCTCGGTCGAGGTGACCCCAACAACCCCCGCCTCAGAAACAGCGGAAGAAGACATGCAAGTCGACGACGACATGCACGACGATCAGGAACCCATCAACTCTGTTCAGGAACCCGCCAGGATACCCGGTATGCTTGCCGCTACCCAGACCTCGAGCTCGGACTAATATGCACAGCTCACGAAGGGGACCCCTACATGTTTGCTTCCGCTCCGTTCGATTCAGCAGATGACGATATGCTTGAAGAGGAACGTCTTGCAGCATGCGAACCGCCAGTCGACCCACTTTCACGAGATGGACAAGAAAAGTTATCGCCAGAGGCCGCCGCGCTCAAAATTGACGTACTTCGGAAGTTTCACGAACCGCCGGTCACTGTCCCTTGGGATGACGTACCAGGAGCTGATTGGAGTGCCGAAAGTGAGAGGCCGCCGAGTGGCACAGTAAACTGCGAAAACGGAGCAAAGGGGGCATGGAACTGTCCCAACCCCGGGACGTGGGGCGATTATTACATCTCGTCCAAGAAAGCCGCATGCCCTGGATGTGGCCAAGGGAGGGCTTCACATATCAATGAACCCGACCGAATGCGCTGGGACATCGCCGCGCCAAAGGAAAAAACAACCGGAGAAGAGCAGGGTAAGACGAAGAAGGGGACCGGGTGGCTGTTGTTCAAGAAGGTCACCGGGCTCATCGGAGGAATTACTACTGCACCATCCAGATCCGCAAGACCCCGCCCGCCAACACATCACAGCAACAAATCTACCCATTTGTTCCGTGCACTGATCGCGTTCGGCTACCCGATCCCCGAAGCGTTGAGAATAGCTACAAACCCGTTCCGTATGGATGGAGAAGCCAGTTCAAAGGTGATGGATATCGTCGCATGGCTGAGAAAAGAGGGTCGATGGGGCAAGATCGATCTGGGTTTGGGAACTAAGAGGTTCGACATCGCGCTCCTGGGTCAAAACAGTCACAGTAGCAGCGTCTCCAGGATGAACAGCGACGAGCTCATTTCCAGGGCTTTCCCTGATCGGCACGACCGATATGAGGAATCCAATGACGATGAATTCGAAACTAGGGACAGCGACTACGGCGATTGCACACTTGAACAACTCATCAGGCTCGCCGGACTGGCATTTCCCTCCAAACGTTTTGACACCTATTCATATGAGTCAGAGAGAAAATTACCTTCAATCGAATCGGACCATAGCGACAGCTCGTCTCCAAGTCCCCCGCCGTCTTCCATACGGAAAAAGGGTTAAGAACGTCCAGAGCGATGCGAACCGAGTACGACAAGTAGAGTTTACGAACAATGTTCTCAGCACTTCCGGCCGTGGCCGTGGTATCACGGAAGACCCAGACCTCGAGCTTGACCGTATGATTGCCAACCGAAGTGCATACTGGAGAGAGGCTTTTGGCCATCTGCGCGCATGGAAAGGACTCCGTTTACCGGCTGGCTGGAGAGCCTGTATCCCTGAAGAGCTAGTAGAGCATCTCAAAAACGGGGAATGTGTGTTTCAGGATGGCATTGCGAGCAGAATTATGACAGAGGAGGCCGGTACCGTGATGACATGGTGCATGTGGATATATATGCACGTGAGTGGCACGGCGAGGGCGGACATGGGAATAGTATCGAGGGTGTTGAACATTGTCAGGAGACACCGCTTTATGCAGGTTGGAACGGTTGGTGAGCTTACCCTCTTGTTCGAGGAGATGGTTCGCCGTGCAGAGGGTTGAAGCTGGTATTGCTGAGGAAACCAAAAGTGGCACAAGGAATCCAAAGATGTGCAATCAACGGCGGCTAAGAACTTGAATGCATCGGTCATACGAGTACTGAACTACCATGAGATTGAAAATTCATTGCTGTATCCTATCCGCTCCAATCTCGACGTGCAAATACCTCAAACCCATCTTCCGTACAAAAGAACTGAACTGCACATGCAGAGTTTCACACGAGTCATGCGCGTGGCACCAAAAGATTTGTAGCAGAATAAATAGATTCCGATGTCCACCCTAACTCATTGAAGAAAACTACTTTCTTGCTTGCTAGAATCACTGTCGGCTTGCTCGAGTTGCAGACTTTACCTAATGCATTTGAAGACCTCTCACGCTACTCTGTTGATGTAATTGCGAATGTAAAACGAGTTTGATTGCACATTCAGTACTCTTACCTTGCGACGTCCTCGACGCAAATCTGATGGATACATGTTAAGCTCAAACAGGCTTTCCCCGAAAGAGTTGCGAGCTACGACATCCTTGTCAGCCCGACGAAATTAGCTTCATAGGGCGAACCTCCTGCTACCTTAAAACAACAAAACAGCAGCTAATGACAATGCGAGCACGACGGCGGGGCCGGTGATCGTCAAGTTGAGCTTTGTTGCCAACACTCTTCCTACATGAATCACAAAGTCTCGGTAGTCCATTAGCTTTTGACGCGATACCGCTGGAATAATACAAGGTAATGGAAAAGTTCATGAACATGTGGCGTATTGTACCAAGTGTTCTTCTTCGCCCATGTAGAGGTAGATGCCAATCGTGATGCGCAGCGCTGGATTCAAGAGGCCAATGACACCGATATTGCGACATGGCGATCATAACTCTCAGCGAGTGTCTGAGTTGCTTGCTGACAAAGAGTGTCTGCGCTGGAGACTCGTTGACTTTTGGGAGAAGATAAAGGAGTGCTGTGAAGTGGCGAGTGGAGAGGTCCCTATCACTATTGGGTATATCAATTGTATTGATGCAGAGATATTGAGGGCGGCGGAATTGTTGAGGCCAATTCGTTGGGAGAAGAGAGCGAGATACTGAAAAATGAGTGTCTGGATCGTGGAATACAGTCGCGGCCACATACTGTCATTGCCGTTCTCGGGAATTGGGTTCCGTTTGCTGATCAGGTCGAAAAGAAGCAAGAAGACAAGTGTAGCTGGATAGGATAATTATTCATCTCATACGATCTATACACTATAACCCTCTCAACAACTCATCAATCGTAATCGGCTTCCTCACAGCATTCGAATACCCCTCATTGAAACTAACCCAAATCCTTCCCTCATCACCACCCTTATTCTCGCGCTTCTTGACTTGACCTTCAAGCAACGGCTTCTCCTCGATCACTCTGCCAAAGAAATCGCGCTTGACAGCCCTCGCATTCGCCGCTGCGACCTTCTCCTCCGTCGTTTTTTCCTCCTTTTGTTCTTCAACTTCATCCGCCTCCGTCTGACCACCTCTCCGTTTCCGATTGTCCATGTCCATGCGCGCGCTCTCTTTGCGCCATTCTTGCTCCAACACGCTGCGTACCGCATAGCGGACTTTCTCCTCTTTCTTGCCGGACAGAGTTTCGAAAGTGGCCAAGACGTCGAGGGGAGGCTCCATGCGCCAGACGAAGCCCGCGCTGCGATTCGCAACGTCCTCGGTCTCTATGCGTGATCGTTCGAAGCGGATGCCAGTGGCGGCCATGGCTTGGACGGCTTTAGCGACCAGCGCTTTCTCGGAGGCTTTGCGGACTGTGGCGGAGGCGAAAGATTTCGAGCCCGAGGCGCCAGTGTTGACGATGACAGGTTTGACGTCTGGTGCGAGCATGCGGAGGGTGTAGGGTATGAGCTCGAGAGCCATTTCTTCGGGACTGCGGAACATGCGCGTGAGATGGAGGCTCAGTGTTGATTGCAGTGCCATGAGCTGTGATCTATTGGCTTTGAACTGCTCGAGAGCTGCAAAGTTGGCGCCAGGTCCAGAGAATGGCGATGGCGTCTCGTCGGGATCAGTAACGGGGTTGGAGCTTTGGTGACGTGGTGATGCAAAGAGGTTGTGGAAAGCGAGAACAGAGTTGGAGAGGTATGGTGCTAGTTCCCATTCCTGCGAACCATGGACAGCCGAGTTGAGTGTGTCGTGGAAATGCAGCCATTCGTATGCTGCGCTTGGCTTGCTGAGAAGAGTATCGTCTTGAAAGGGCTTTTCGGGGTATGCGGTGAAGCAGTCTGACGGGTGTTAGCAATAAGTTTTCGTTGAAAGACAGCAATGAAAACTCACCAGTCACGACGCGGTCGCAATCGCCGCTCGTATCGACCATCTCCCTAAGACGGTCCATTGCACGCCGCTTGGCACCCTCAGCAACTCCGATGACACCACTTTTTGCGCGAGCAGTGACCGTCCGCACGTCGGCAGTCTCCGCCTGCTTCGGAAAGCCTGCACCTTCTTTGAACACGCGCTCGACAACGTCCTTCGCACCACCTCGTCCCAGACTACGTGCTGATCCTCCACCATGCCGTAGGTCGTTGATGAAATTGTCCTCGATCCACTTCCTGCTCAAATGTGGTGGATCTTTTGACTTGGGGTTATGCGAGGATCGTAATCGGCCTGCTACCCACTCGCTGACCACCATGACTCCACGAATATCGCCTTCGCCAGTACCACTACCAGTACCGCCCTCCTTTTTCGTGCTCACACCCCACGTGGCTTCGCACAATCGTCGCACACCGTCTGAGTCGCATTGTATGCCTTCCTTGGTGAATATATCTTGCATGCGAGAAACAACCATGTTTAGCGCAGGTTGTCGGATGCGAACGATTTCCGCCATGGAGGATTGTCGAAGTGGCCGTAGTGACGGGTGGTACAAGTCATTGCAGATGAGGATGAGAGGTCGCAGCAGCCTGAATCTGTCGCCCTTCTTCTTCTTGTTCGTTCCGGTAGTTGACTGCCCGACCATCTTTGAGTTCTTTTCGTCCAAGTTGATCAAATCGATGAGCGCTTTGACAAAGCCGCCTTCACCTGCACCACCGGCGCCACCCACAACACCGTCTACTTCATCCACAACAACACAGACTGGCTTGCCAGCCTTGCGCACTTTGCCGTTTGCCGTGGTGGTGTTGACGCCCCGAACGTTCTCTGTGCCGACCATGTCCCGAATGCGACCCTTGACCACATCACGACTTCGCTCGTCAGATGCATTAATCTCTTGGACCTCGTATCCAGCTTGTCGCGCGCAGACATGCGCAAGTGTAGTTTTTCCGAGTCCAGGCGGGCCGGTCAAAAGCAGGATCTTGCGATGCTGCTGTGGCTCTTCTCCAAAGTCTTTCTTTGCAGCCTTTGGCTTCTTGACGGAGCCAGGAAAGACGATCGGATCCCATGCCTTCAGCCATCGCAGAACGGATCGGTGTGTTCGCTCATCGCCGACCAAGTCTGTGAACTTCTTCGCCCGGTACTTCTCGGTCCACATTAGCGTGCGACTGCTTTTCCCATTCTTGGTCACTGGTTGTTCGACAGACTCTCTTGGTGGTTCCTCCGCGACCTGGGCCTGTCTCGAGGCCTTCTCGACGTCCAGAGCCTTGGCTTCATCCATCAATTCGTGTATGTTGAGGCCATAGTAGCTCGTCCTTGCTTGGCCTTCTGCGACTTCCGAGCGCGCCGCAATCAACTGCTCGTACGAGACAGCTTCTCGCTTCGCCCTCTTTGGTATGTATATAGCCTTGCCTGACGAGTTTCGTGCAACGACACCCTTCGTTTCCTGTGCTGGAGGCGGAGCCTCGGATGTGGTGGGTCGCTTAACAGGTGATTGCGATCGTGATGCGAAGCTGTAATTGTCGAGATCGTCCACGGGTATGCTTTCGGGGTCGGCAATGTCGTCTTGGCTCGCTGGCGGCGTGTTGTCCGCAAAGCCGTCTGGTAACGACGGCAGGTCCTTTACTGTGTTGATCGCCCGTCTCTTCAGCGTGTGCTGCTTCTGAGCCTCGATCTCATCCTCGTCGTCGGAGTCGTCCATGAAGGCCCCAACCTTTCGGACTGCGTTGTTGTTTGGAACATCTTTAAGCGGTTCTCGAACTTGATCCGAGCGCTTCCTCTTCTTTGGTGATAGGGCCAGTGGTAAAGAGCTTTGGGGATACGCCACAGGCGAGGAGATGAGCGGCATGATGTATGCTGGTGGCGATGAAGGAAAAGCTTGACCTTCAGTTGAGGTGTCGGTAGGAAAGCGCTTGACTGGTGACTGCTTCTTGCGCTTCGCGGGTGTGTCTGGGGATATTAGTACAGGATGCGCCTTGATGTCGCGCTAGCTGTACCAATGGAAGCTTCTCCTTCACTGCGGAAAACTTCAGTTATGTTCCACGCTCTGTGCTGTATGACGACTCCTTCACTGGTCTTCTTGGCTTTATCCTCGGTGATGCACTGCTGCAATGCGTCAAAGTCGTCGGAGAAGGAGACTGGAGGTGGCTCTTCCTGGGGACGGTCGAGTTCGGAGTATAACAGGGCAGGGTCAAAAGATGAGGGTAGGCCTTGTGAATAGCTGCTCATCGGGTCAAGAAGGTGTCATAGTGGGTGAATGCTGGGTTGTGGTGGAGGAAAGCTAAAGTTGGACGCGTCGCGTGTGGAAGCATGTTTCGCGTTCGGCGCTAAGCCGCTTTGGTCGACGAGCCTCACAGTTGCACGGAATTATGGCTAAGGACAAAACATTGCGCAATTCTACAACTTGGTCTAAGTGCTTCGCTATACTTCTGATCTTTTCGAGTTGGCATAGCTGATCATGGTTATCCACGAATTTAATACCGTCTCACAGCAATTTGCTGCATGGTTGGATGCCTTATGCATTGTTGCAGTCAAGACATCTCCCTACAGAAAATTATCGAAAATCATCGAATTGAAAATAAATTCAAGGTAGAAATATACGAACCTGAAGCCCAAAAGGATCGAAAGGGAGCCCTGTGCGTCAGACATCAGCACTGGCCGATTCCGGCTCACTTCTCGGCTAAAGCCATGCCGGCCTTGCAGATCTCACACAAGTGGGACACTGAGACGCCAGGCACCCCGCACATTCTTGCGAGTCATTAGTCTCGGTGTACGAAATTCGAACCCAGATGGCGTTACCCCTCTCGATGTTCCTCACTTGGGACATGTTACAATTTTATAGATTGGTCAAACCTCATCAACACCATCAATCAGTTACAAAGCTGAGTGGCGCAGCGGAAGCGCGCCGGGCTCATAACCCGGAGGACGACGGAGTTAGTATGCCCGTAATGCAGCTGTTCGAATCGTAGTACTAACGTCGCACCAGTCGAAACCGTTCTCAGCTATAACTTTATTTTTGCCGGCATTTGGCGGTAGCACAACACCTTTTTTTGCAACGCCTAGTGATCAAAGACCTACAAGACCTTCCTGGGTTGTATTTGTTCATTATTCTTTTAATTTTACATGTTATGGCTGTGGTCTTTGTGGCCTGTCCGGACCTTGGAAGTGCTCAGTGTGCCAGAATCACGCTAGGCCTGCAAAGCACGACAACAGAAGACTTCTGCGAGAGACATGTCGATTGAGACAGTCATGAACCACGACTCGATTTGAATCAAGAAACTTACATGATGATCGCACAGCTCCTTGGCCCTTTTGCCAACACAAGTGTCTTTCGAAAGATGTAGCAAGCTGGGAACATCAATGTTTCCACGATCCTGTACTAAACAGTCTTTCACATCGGTCAAGGGATCCGCCATAGTGACTTGAGGGTAAAGTAATTATTGTGGAGTGAGGTTCGTGGCAAATACCTCGAGAGGTAGCCGGCAAACACCTTAAGAGGCGCGTAGCAAACATGCCAAAGATATTGCTGGCAAGCACCTCAAGAGATTCCTTGCAGCGAACATAACAAGTTCCGTCCAAGTTTACTCTGGCAAATTCGAGTATCTTGTGTGCCAGCGAAGGGACCTGCGGTCAGGGTATCCCTCGTCCATGGCGTGTACGGACGGGTCGTTTCCCTTCTCTCAGGGCGCCTGCTAAGATAATAACGGGCTCTTCTGGCAAGACCCACAGATTGAACGATGAGAATGGCGAGAAGGGAATACGACGAGGCGGGCGGGCGTCTTTCTAGAGCGATTGCACGTTGGACAGTAACAACCAATGCATTAAACATTTTCAGCAACACGACCACAAAACCATCAATTCTCAGCCTAGCAGCGACAAAAGAGCAACTTGCAGAAGCCTAGAATGATGTCTTACCGCTGCGAGAGAATTTATGCAAAGTCCCGAAGCCATCGGATGAAACAGCTGCAATCATCAGCACCTTTGCTGAATTAGTTGAGATCTTCCCAATACCGAACAAAGACTACTCTCATCCCGTGATGTGATCATGGAGGATCAAGGCCGCCTGTATTGAAACCTCCTCTCTACATAGCTCAGCGGTCTGCACGCTGAGCTCAGTCAGATCACCGAATGGCCCCAAGTACCAGAGAACCCCATGGACGCAATCACAATCCTACGGACTCTTATTGACGAATATCAGAAGTTTGTTGGCCCTTGTTCCGACAGAACTCATTCAATAGAACTGATCGGTTGTATCTAACGCAAGATCTACCGAAGCGAGCTCGGATCAACCTCTCAGAAATGAGATTGCTAAGCTTCAAACAGTCAGCGGCTGTGAAGAGGTAGCCAGACGATGAGGAGAACGACAACACGATCCGCAACTATGCATATTCCCCAGCTCTTCACTGCAACTAGCGCAACGCCAGCGGCAACATCAACAAGACATATCCGAAAACATTCTCTGCAAAATACACACGTTGAACCCGAAGCTTGCGGGACACCACCAACCTTCATTTCATCTATGGTACGATTCATCACCGTTGAATTCGCGCAGATGCATGTATGACCTCCACCCTCCCCTTCCCCATCTACCTATACCCCAACGCCTCCACCACCCCCTCCAACGCCCCATCCGCCCTCCCAACCCTCCTCCCCGCCCTCTCCACCTCCTCATAATACCTCGCCCCCCGGCCCTGCGCCCACGCATCCTCCGCACGCCTGACAGCATCCTGCGCATCTCGGATAAGGTCGGCAATTCCGTGCATGATGGGCTCGTAGCGCTGCATTAGGTCGCGATATGGCATGTCGGTGCGGCGGCGGTGGTCTGTGTGCCTCTCGAGCGTGTCGCGAAGGTGGTGGTATTGGAGTGTGGAGGCGCGGATGTGCTGTGTCATTGTGCGCATGGCGGTGTCGAAGCGGGCGCGGTCGTGGGCGCGGGTGCTGTAGCGAGACATTTTGGATGGTTGGTGTGGGCGGGAAAAGAGTGTGATGGTGTGGGTTATATGCTAGATGGTGATGTTGGTTTGCGTGTATTTGTCGGTTTCTCCAAGTGGTGCTTTGTTCGGGAATGTCTGGCATGAGCTGGAAGGATGTGGTCTATCAAACAGGGCGAGGGGTTAGTTGGTATGGACATGAGGAGCCGTCAAAGGTTTGTCGTAATGTGCCGACTACCCTCATTGAATACTGACCCGTCTTGCAGTCACGGAGGGTTGCTTGACGTGTTTCGGCATTCGTAATACCTAGCGTAACTGCTCCTATGCTACAACTTCGATACCTCCGGGCTCCATAGTGAACTTGCAACTCGCTGAGAATCAAGCAACGTGGTACGAATCACATCCTCCATGCCCGCTAACATTCCGCCCTCTGCATTTTACGCAGGACCAACCAAGTCGATACTGCGACGACATTCCATCAAATACCCACTCGTAGCAGTCGCTATGATAGACCCGACAGACCACTTCATCTTCAACGCAGCGAGTGCAAGGTTTGAGAGCATCCATCCCGTACTTCCCTCTGATCATCTCCTGGTGTGTGATACGTCGCAAGGACTGGAGCGAAGATTTGGTAGTTGGCATGACACCATTATAATGTGCATTGATGTAGCGTTGACTTGCCTCCTCACAGTCTGTCGTCCAGGTGTCATGTGTGACGCTCGCTGGAAGTCGGTGGTGAGCGCGGGGTGTGAAGGTGCCGTGATCATAATGTTGATTTGGTCTCGGGAGAGATGCGCGACGGTCCTGATCGATGTCGAAACCGTCTAGCTCGGCCAGCTTATCCTCATCAAGCATCTCGAAGTGTCCTTGACCAAAGCCGACCTCTTGAGCAGACTCGTTGGCTTGATCTTGTCGCGCGGCGCGGACTTGTTCGATCATCTCAAAGGTAATCCTAGGTTCTGGTGACTCAGCATCCTGGACCCATCTCTTCTGCGGTCTTGGGCTCGTAGCACTGGCCGTGGACGGTGACAATTGGCGCTTCGGAGCCGTACCTGATCTGAATGTGATAGGCAGGAAGTGTGGGATGAGTCGAAGCGCACCCTCTGTGAGCAGCCTGGACTTGAAGTAGGCGCCCTGGTCCCACAAGCGCGGCTTGAGCTTGACGTCGCAGCGGTCGTGAGACTCCAGGTGGAAGTGGAGCATGTGCGTCTCCGGGTCTTGCTCGAAGTGCGCAAACGTGACATCCTGCATTCTCTGCTCCGGTTGAAGTAAATCCAATAGAAAAAGAATGAGACGCCGTTGTGGTGGAGCGATGACAAAGGAGATCGAACGCTGAGATGTACAGAGAAGTGTACTTACGCTGTATTTATCGAAGACTCCGTCAAGACAGATGTCATCGTTTGCCGCGTTCTCACGGCCGGTGCGCTGGTTGAGAATGCGCACCAGCGGCGTAGCGACCGTCTCACTTGGTAAGAGGCTCATATCTGGAGAGCTATTGTGCGCGATATGTGCTGTGATGGAGGTGCAAATTCGTGCGGGTTGTGTAGCTTGCGGGCTTTGCGCAAGCAAAATCATCTCCATGCCAACTAGGCAGTAACAAACAGCCACGCGACGCGCCAGTCACATGACGGCCTTTCGCCTTTACCTCAACGGCCGTCAAACAGAATAGTGATCCAGAAAAGAAAGCGTTCATGGAGGAAAAGAATTGTGAATGGTATATACGTAGAGCTTTTGAAGATAGCTTGGATACGGCAATTGAACAGGAAGAGTGTGCTACTTATGCTTTCTGAAGGATACAGATGCTGCTTTCATAATGGTCATGTGCTTATCAGAGGCTCAGGTGACAGGTCCAGAATTGACGACGTTCTGGCAAAACAGACAGCTGATCATGGCGATGGCCCGGGAGCATTTTGAGCGAACACAGGACTCCCAAAGATACAGCCTGGAGGCATTTGCTGCCCGGACAAAGGGCTCCGAATAGTCAACAGAACTGTGTGTACCTCCTCACTGCACTATTAGGGAGAGGTAACGATCACAGTGGCTCATCGAACACACTCAGGCTCCATGATGGCCGGCTTAAGAAGATAGAGTGAACGCAAAAGATACGACAAGGTAGAGACTTTGAAAAGGCTGTGCGAAAATGAAATATGAGCAGATGAGAATGAGGTGATGGAGATAAAGACTGCAGATGAAAGATGTGAGACGAGGCTTGCGATCTCAAACGTTGTCCAGCATGCTCCATAGTCCAGGGTGCGGATGAGCCGGAAGCACGATGGCTCCCAGCAAAGAGATCTGCCGAAGAGGTGTTTTTGTTAGATCAGGGGAAAGGGCCGGAATTGATGTCATCGCCAACATCCTCCACCGTGTCGTTTCCATTGCTCTCTGACATTCCAGGCTTGCTACGGTCTCCGATCGTGTTGGCGAGTGCGTTGCTGCTGCGCCGCATGCTGCGCCTCAGCACCGTGCATGATGTGGTGTTTGAGGTTGAGGGGGAAGGCTCTGCTCTCGGAGCGAAGATCCACCAACTGGGTCTAAGCTTTGCTTGGCCGAAGCTTGCGCACTCTCTTCTCGAAGTCAGCCGCGTCACCGATGCCTCTTTGCGGGGTCGGAGAATGCATCAATATGCACGTCGCAGCTCTTCCTGGCCCATGAAATTCCAAGTGTTTGCATTGAGTGATGCTTAGGCGGTTTGAAGATGCCAGGTCATCGCGGAGATGACGCCGTTTCGATGGGCCAGAGCGCGCCACACCAACACCGCCTCAGTCGCGAATGGCCGAGCTGAATGCGCCCGTACGATCCGGACCGATCCAGCTGTGGCTAAATTAGTGAGCGATTTGGAAATGCTGGAGAGATGCGTTTGATGAGGACGCAGTGGCCAGTCGTCGCGGCGATAAATACCTCACCTCACCCCGCTGTCGTCAGCCTCATCATCTGCTATTAAACAAACTCCTTCTTCTAGCTTCTTCATCACTCACACATTTCCAAAGATGGGTTTCCTGAGTGAATTGGTCCATGAGTTCAAGGGGAAGTCAGGACAGTCAAGTCAGCAACAAGGCGGCCCGCCAATGGCAGGCGCTTCACAGGGCCCACCTCCAGTGTCACCGCCATGGTATGCTGAGTGGGACGGTCGCGAGAACCGCTGGCTATTCGTCAACCAGCAAAACGGCGAGCGCACCTTCAACTACCCTGGGCCAGGCTATGCACAGCAGCAAGGCAGCTATGGCGGCCCCCAAGGTGGTTACGGATACGGCCAGGGCGGATACAGCAACCAGGGCGCCTACAACCAAGGCGCCTACAATCCAACCAACAACTACCAGCAGCAAGAAGAACAGAAGAAGCAGGGTGGCAATGGATGGAAGTACGCAGCTGCTGGTGTGGCCGGTGTTGCTGGCGGTGCGCTACTAATGCACGAGGGTGAAAACATCAGTATGTGTCTGCATCGCACTTTTGACATACCCCCCTAACCACACAATCTAGAGGATGACTTCGAGCGCGACAAGTACCAAATGGAAAACCGCGTCGACGAATTCGGCAACGACATCTCCAACTTGCCCGAAAACGCCGCCAACTGGACCGGCGAGCAGGTCGGGCGCGTCGAGAACTTCGACGACCGCGTCGAAAACGGCTTCGACAATGCCGTCAACGACGTCGAAGACTTCCCAGAGAACGCCGCGCGATGGACCGGCGAGAAGGTGCAGGAGGTCGAGGACATTCCGCAGGACATTGAGAACAAGTGGGACGATGCGGAGAACGACGTCGCGGCTTTTGGCGGGCGCATGGATCAGGCATACGACGATGGCAGAGATGAGCAGAGGTACGACGACGACAGGAATGATGACTGGTGACCGATGAAATTCGGAGACGTGTATGTGTAGGATATGTAGGATTTAGCGAGGGATGCGAGGCGTAGGAGAAGAGGCTATCCACGTCCACGATGGTAGCGAATGCGAAATCAAGAGTTTTAATCTTCCAGGTCACCTCCATGAAACGGATTGCTAGCGCCATTTAGCGTGACAAGGGCATGCCCAGGGCTCGATTCTAATTGTTCTGGACAAAACCCATCGACTCGCCATTTGTCTCCAGGTCCGCGCTAACGAGTCGCTCGGTACCAGTGCATGTCTGACGTTGGACAGTATTCGTGCTAAGGGACCTGCGTAGAAGGCCCCCAGTGCGCAAATGAACTCATCTAAGATGGCATTGCAGATTCGATGCAAGGCGTATTTCCCATTTTGTTTCTGCACATATTGCACTGCTGTGCGTTGCAGAGTACAAAGGCGACGAAGAGTGTTGGTGTGAAGGACACTGCACGTGACCGACTGATGCTCAAAAACTGCGCCACCGGCCTACATCTCGAAGATCACCACGTTTCCAAAGAAAAAGCGCCTTACACATCGCCCCATCGGCGATTCCAAAAGTGCGCCTTCCCCGCCTCAGCGGCTCAGTCCCCCAAACCAAACCCCGACGTCGTGCCATTCTTCCTCCACTAATCCCAACTAGCGACCCTCGCATCGCAGTGCGCACCCCAGATGTACGTCAGCCCACGCCCCAATCCGGCCCCAGCGTCAGAAACAGTCAGAAACTGAGCAAGTGCTGATTGGCCCGCGCACAGGCCCTCCCAAACCTAAAAGAGGCGCAGCGAGTGCACGCGTGGTGAGCATGGGTCTTGGCGCACGGCGTGGTACTCTGTGTTATACTCGGGTCCTGGGGGGAGATTTAGGTATGTAAGATGTGCTGCCTCTTTTGCGTAAAGTGAGTAGAACTTGCAATTCAATATGATCGTTTCAACACCCTCTTTTCTCCGCGGCGTAATCGCCCTCTCTTCGACTCTTCTTACGGTTCTCTCCGGTGTTGCGATATACAAGTGCGTTTTCGCAGTGCTGCTGCTTGCCAAGAGTCTTCCGCTGGACGGATATGTCTGGGTTGATATACTCGGGATGGCGGGGAGCGGGAAGCCGGAGAAGCATGTGGTGAATTTGAGATTGGGCGGAGAGTGTGAGGTTGCTGTTTGGGTAGCTGCGGGATGTGGGATTGGTGCTGGTGTAATGGGTGTTGTCAGAGCATTTTTTGAAGAGAGGCAGAGGTGGAGAGGTGTTGGGAAGGTATGTTGTAATCGAGCTGATGGGTATGATGAATGCTGACGTGGTTGAGCAGGACTATCATCAGCTTTCCGTGTCGAGGAAATTGAAGTCACTGCGCTGTGTTGCGTGTATCTCTGCCGTCATTGCCTTGTTTGGGAGCGCTGTGTCGGCGGTATACTTGACTCTTCACAGTAACGCTGTTCGGCGAAGCACCTGCCACTGGGACAATGGGCGAGCACCACGATGCAACGCTGAAATGCACGCGGGAACTTGCTATCTGCGAGGTATCGCCGTATCTTGTGAAACCAAATCGCAGTGAGCAAGCGGTGGGGTGGCGACAGAAGGCTTGTGGACAACTGGTATGTTGTTGTTCTATCGTTTAATTTAGTGAGTTCGCGACTGACTTCTGATGCAGCAACATTCGCGAAAATCTTTGGTGTTCCTAGCACTCCTATCATTGGTCCTTGTTGTAGGCTATGGAGCTCAAGCTTATCTGGCCAGGAGAGAAGAAAAGATGTTACTGAATGTAGAGGAAAAGACCGTTTCCGTGCGGTCAAGCAGTGATTCGCAGAACCGGTCTCCGCGCTCTTCCTGGGGCTCGAGTGATAGCCAGAGAATAGAAAAGGCCGAATGAGCTCGATGCTCCTGCCATTAATCTTCATCAACCTTTTTTCGAATTGCTTCACAATTCCATGCTCCTCAACAGCACAACGCCTCTCACTAAAAGCCGCTGCCCTTGCCCATGTATCCAGACTCTTCTTTGATATCCTTGGCACTCCCTTGACCTTGACCCTCAGCATAGCCCGCGAGACGACCCTGCAAGTACCCATGCTTTGTGCCTTCCTGCACACCAATCTTGCGGCCTTGCTCGTAGCCTTGCCTGAAGCCGTTCTCGGTGCCGACATAGTTACCCTGCATCAATCCGTCTCGGTAGGCCTTTTGGAGCTGCGCCTCGTAGTAAGCTTTCTGGAGCCTAATCGCGTCGGCAGTAGCGGGAGCGATTGGAGTCGCGGATATGGCTGGCCCTTGACTTTGTGGTGGAGTGTAGGTAGAGGCAGATGGATTAAGACGGCGTGATGGAGTGTCCGGGCTCTTCACCGTCGACATGTTCGAAGTCTCTCGGGTGTGGTTGCGACTCAGAGGCGAGCCAGTCGCAATCGCCGCCAAATATGGCTTGGGTGTCTCCGGAGCATCGCATTGGGGTGAATCACGACCAGGAAGCTTGCTCGTTAGCAATGTTATTTCGCAGGCAGTTCGCGATTGCCTACCTCGGCGTTGGTCTTCGGGGCCGCAAACTCATGTTTTGCTGGAGGCGCATCGCCAGAGTTGAGTTTGTTCGCTTCTTGCGCGCTACGTAGGAGTGCGTCTAGTCGCTCGCTGAGGACAGAGTTGCTTGACATGGCCTTGAGGGCGCTGGAAACTGTCGCTTTATTCTCTTCTGGGGTCGCCGTCATAAACGGTCGATTGGAACGCGTAGAGAATCTAAGGATAGTCCAGAAAGAGTAAAGAATCTGGAAGAAATCAAAGAGCCGTTGAATTTCAATAGAACCTGCGAGGTGAGGCTTCGTGGCTGTGGTGTTGCGCTGACGCAAACGCGTATGCTCTAGTTGCTGCGCGAACGCGGTAAGTTAGTCGGCCTCGCAAACGGCAGTAGCGATGATGATACAGAGTCATATCACGTGGACGTGACCGACCTTTCGAGCTGCCAATAATGGCAAGTTTTATGTGTTGTGAGATGCAGAGATGCTGTACAGAGTTGAAAGATCAAGCGCTACCTGAGGTAAAACTCTACGTAGTTAATCATGCATTCTAATCGCGTATGAGGTGATGGCGAAAATTAAATATGTAAGAAGCAAGAGAATCAGAGACTTGACATGGAACACAACTCGTATAACACTACTGAAAGTGAAAAGAGCGATGCAAAGCATCGAAATCACGCGCAACACGAGATCACGCTTTGTTGGACGCTTCCACAATTCGATCAATACTCGCCGATATCTCGCATTCCTTCGAGATGTACCGTGTTACACCACTCCGACGTTGTTGCTGGCCAGGTGAGCTATCGTAACATATACCTCGGACACTTCGTACATACCCGACCGGATCGAACACAAATCCGGCATGGTACTTCGCAACATACATATGGCGTGATCCTGGCGTCAACTTGCACTTCCCACCTGCCTTGACCCTCCTCGTAAGACTTATCAACAGTCGCACTACTGCTACATCGGACAGTGACACCGGCAACAGCAAAATTCGTGCGCGCTCTACACCTACACGGCCTAAACTTATAGTCTTTGAAGGTGTACTTTTCCTAACCTTAGGAGAGCCTGGATATATACGCAGCTCTAAGGTAATCCACCAGACTCGATCAGAAATCCGACGCCTGGTGGCGATAGGTGTGCCGTATAGACTGAACTGGATTTATTTCGGTAAAGCGGATTGCAGCTTGGCACGGATTCTACAGTCTCTCCGGTGTATAGACCGTTGCCTGACATAATTGGTTTGTTTGATCCATATGCCAAAACACAGACCGAAAAGATTGACAGAGTCCAAGCCCAGAGTGTTACAACCTCAACATCCACTAACGGAAGTTGATTTCCTGTTCTCGCCAGATTATCGAGTCGTTAAAGATGTTCAAGAAGCAATCGATCCTTTGGTAGGTGCCAATGATTGTCCCGCAACGGCTCTAGTTTGTATTTCTCTTCCTCGTGGAGTAGCTCTTATCTCTGTACGCGCTGGAGTATTACTGCGAGGTGAGTGTTGCAGAAGTATGAGGTTGCAGCTGGAGGTAGGTGGCATCTATACGCTCCTCTGCAACTAGCATCCCTATAGATGGGCAAGTCTCGTGGAATGGTGCCAAACAGTACGCGATCCTAGGCTGTGACAATTTCTTGCTAAGCGAAATCCTGTTCTCCATCCTCCTCGAGGGCGACGGAGATATGCCGGCAATTGATCCAGTGCTGTGATGCACGTGGACTTGCTCTCGCGTGAAGACAATATCAGCAAGAGCGAATGTGTAAAATGAATCCAATTTCAGATTGCCGGAGATGTTTGCCCGGCACGAACTTCCAGTTAAGCTTTGAGCCATGATAGGAACTTGGCTGAACTTCTGCCACAGCGCGGTGTCCCGCATGTTAGATAGATGATGGAGATCCTCCAGCGCTACAGTCTGAGCGAATGCGTTATAGTAGTACAGGTGTTCGTACACCTCCGGGTGCCCCATGTCTAATTGAAAAGTGTGAATGCTTGCGGGGTTTAGGCGCTCCATATCTTGTCGCGCCGTCATGCGCCTACGCGAGAGGATTCATAAGTCAGAGCCATAGCTCTTGGCTGTTGAGCGTGCGCGTGAAGAAGGATTCAGGATAATGTTCGTGACGATTGCGTGCTGTTCCACAACGTCTTTATTTCCCTAGCGCGTCACGCTAAACCGCGATCTGTTGTGACATGGGAAGACGCGTCGCAAAGCTTTACTCAAACATCATTCAACAGTAGTCAGCCAGGTTGGACTTGTGATAGACTCGAACGCGTACAACAGCACCTTGCCTTATACCAGGAGAAAATCAACGAAGTTGCAGACGTGCTTGACAATTACCGCATCAACGGAGTTGATGCATATGACGCGCGACGTCAAGAGTATCATCAGACGTTACATAACCATCGCCGGCAGGTCGTCCATCTGAAGAAGCAACAAGGAGCTATATCGAAAGAGAAGGAGAGCAACGCAAAGCGCGCCAAGCTAGCCAAAGATGAAAGGGACCAGCGAGCAGTGGCTGAGGTTGAACGGCAAGGAGCGATCGCGAGGCATGGGACAGAAGCGAGCATCAAGAGTGCAGAAAGTCGCGCGTATGAGTACGCTCGAACAGATGCAAGAAAAGGAATGTATATACCAGCGGCGGCATTCCCATCTCATCTTCGAGCTCCTGTCGCGCCTATTGACCTAATGAAACACGCCAGGTCATGTCTAATGACATACGAGCATGCACGCCTCGCATCAGGCCGTTAGCCCGTTGATCACTCCGCCGCAGACCTCTCAGATAACTATTCTCTCGGTGGAGATAAGCTCATCCTCTTGCAACGAATGTGCAAGAAGCCCGAGCTAGTCGAACACTGCCCACACAGCAAATCGTTCTTTGAGGAAACGCTTCACGGTTGTGCCGACGAAACTCGTATTAGTGCGAAGGCTGCAGTGGGCCATTATTATGAAGCAGCCGAGACAGGAACTTGCATTCAGTTACCGCAGGAAATATGGGGTAGTTGATTGAGCTCCCTTAGCTATGGAATACGCACCCTTTTGCTAACAAAAGACGACGATATACGGATTGCGTAGACTTATTAGTGAGATCGTCTATGACATGTCTCAGTCGTGACAATGCGAAGTGATACAACACGCTTGTGATCGTGCTCGTCACATCAACCACATCACAACATTTTTTAACTTTCATCAGCGCGCTTGAACATTACATGGCACTCACCTATCCTTCTCTGGCTTACTGCAAAGCTCAAATTGCCCCAACGACCAACCAACAAAGACACGATGCGCACATTCGCCTGGGAACGCCACGGTGAGCTCATCGCCAAATGCTCATACCTAGCCCATGACCTCCAAACTCGAGCCGACCGAGCCGAAGCGCGCATCGCAAAAGAAGACACGTGATGTCAGCGGCGAGCACCACGCCTCCATCGTCAACAAGTGGATATTCCTGCAGGGACTAAACCGCATGGCGCAAGAGACCGAAAATCTGTGCTAGTGGGAGCTGCGAGGGCGAAGAGCTGATCGGGCGCACTCGCCTTTCGACGCGGAGCTTGCGATGCATTCGAGATATGCGTGGACGTTGGATATGGGTGGTCAGGTTCGGGTCTCGCCGTTGAGGGCGTTAGTGCAGCTGGATAAGTTGCTGGGGTTGGCGCTGGTGCAGGTTTTGGAGGTTTGATAGATAGGTTGGGATGAGTGTTTTGCTTGTCGGTTGGCAAGATTGAAATATCTAGCAGATGCAGGAGTGGGAGTTGAAGACTCAGCATCATTTAGTATTAGGAACAGCAATACATGTTCCTGTTGTAAAGCTACACATTTTCTTGCTATGCGGCAGGTCTCAAGTCTCATTGTGAATGAATTGCCTCTCACGCCGTGAAAAAAAATCGAATATAAGAGCTCCCTGTTAGTATGCTCTGCCAACTCACTCAAGCTTCGCTCAATACAACTTTTCATCCTTCACAACTTGTCGATATGACGAAGACTGCTGTAGTCATTAGTTGCTTCCTTTTGCACTTTGTCTTCTTTTCAGATACGACTACTGCGTTTGCGATTTCAGTCAGTCCATTTCATATACAATCTCCTGCGGTCGAAAGGGGTTTCGTTTTACACACCTACAGACATAACGAAGTAAGAACCACACTCCAATTAGCCAATAACGAATTTCTAGCGCACAGGAGATATACATCACAAATGATGGAGAAATTAGTAAAGACATCGACAACTAAAGAAATAGTACAATGATAAAGCGCGCAATTCGACAATGACTTAATTCATGTGCGACCTAATACGTCACGTATAAATGTGTCAATATCAAACACTACTATCAACATCATACGCTCGCCCATGCCCTCACAGATCAGAATTGACATGTCGTATTGTAGTTATCACCCAGCACAGATTCGATGTGGGAAGCAGTATTCGTCTGCATGAGAGTCAATTTAACTGTCCCGCAGTGCAACTCCGACCGACCAAACGGCACTGGAACACGGATATACTTTACTCGCGTCTCGATGGTATTAGTGAAATAGCTCTCACAACCACTACTCGGTGTATTTATTTGATCGCCTAAATCTTGTTCTTGCTTCGCCAATGGAGTTTTCATCGCTTCAATGCACTCAAACAGCAGATGAGAACTGAGCAGTGCAAGCATAGATCAAACTCACGTTTTCATAAAGGTTAGGCCTGCAATGCTTAGAATTTGTATCAAAATCATACTCTTTGAACAGGCAATGGACGCCATCTTGTTCTAAAGCAAACTATCATTTAATATCCAGTTCTCGCGTATTAAGATGCACTTCTCAAAGTCTCGACGAGATTATGATAGCAAAATGCAAAGGAAGTAGGAAGTAGAGCACAGTAGATAATCATAAAGGTCACAGAACGCGTATTTTGAATCAAAAAATTGCTAAAACTTTGCATTGTTCTGACACTTCGGGATTTCTCCAAATCCGCGAGATCATGAGAACACCACAACACTGTCGTCATGCTTTACTGTGCTCCACATCTCTTATGAGCATGCATCCCGGAAGGAGAACTGTATACAAATAGATACGCCTCGCCTCCCAATTCGTTCAAATCTTCACTCAACGTTTGACATCTCTGAACATCAATCATCGTGAAACTCTTACCAGCCGGAACACGTCGCTGCAGGATTATCACAATCACTACCGGGTCGCCCGGAATCACTGGACAATGATGAGCCATGCATTTGCTGAGTGAAAGCTGATCGACTTGATCTGTTCTAACTCAAAATTAGAGGTAAAAAAGCAAATACTTGCTCTCCACCTTCGCCGATCTAGGATACAATAAAGGCACCAATAAGCTGAGTGTTCAAAAACGTGTCGCTGCATCCTTTCTCGTATCTCATTGCATACACAAGTCACTGTGCAGATCCCAAGGCTCAGAAGAAGGCATGTGCAAATCATTGCGTATTCAATCGTACTCGTACGTATCGACAAGATTGATACACTCCCCTATAGCCCATTTCGCAAAGCAGAATAAATCCTCGAATCACCACCCCGACCTCAGTCTTCATCTCGCCTCATTTTCATCCCAGACCGCCACACCCGCCTCGCGCCGGATCATCACCACCGCTTCGTACTCCTCCTATATTTGACTCGCCATATGACTATCTTCACCGCCAAGAACACAAGGTCAACAGTAAATGACCGCGTCGTAAATCCGACCCGCCATATGCCCATCTTCACGCCAAGAATATGAGGTTACAACAAACACCAAGAGTTGCAACTCTACGCTATCGATACCGTCGATCACCGTTGTTCATGTGCTGGTCATGTGGAGTTGTGCACGTTGTGCACGTTATGCACTGCAAGTCACACTGGATGGTTTATCAATCGCATCGGACCGTTCAGCGCCACACAAACACGGCAGTGATCCTCGCACTTGCGCCACATGTTACGGCCGAAGCCAGGTCATCTCGCAGGCAGCAAGGCAGAATCCAGACCGATTGTTTCCAAGAGCGTTGATCGTCTTGCGCAAACTCTTGAATGCAGATCCAATATTTGGGTCAGGATCAAGTAGGTTTATGATGGGCGTGGTCCGAGTCATGTTACGCGCCGCATCCCGGTAGGGAAAAGCGGGTGATCAGTAGGCAGCGCTTTACTGCGAGTCGAAGTGGTTTGGGCGAGTGTGTTGACGAACAGATGCATTTGTGTCGAGCGTGCAGGAAAGCAGGTTCATGTACGCAACGGGGCCGCCGAGCATCCAGCTCTCCACATTTGACCCGGACTTCGTCAACAGTCGCCCGAACAGGTTGATAGACTGCATACACACGACTCGAAGGGGGTGCGGGTCAAGCTGAAGGTAGCGGGAGAACCGGAACCAGGGTGTTGTCAAGAAAGTGGTGTGAGGAGTGCATGCCGCACGCGTGTTTACACATTACCGCTCCATGGAAATTCGACCGTTGGCTAGCTTACCTCGTTGTTGGGAGCCAATTAGCTTTCACAAGCTAGAAAATACAGATGATGCCTCGGTGCCCAAACGTTCAGCCTTGTTCGCAATTTCTTGTCTGGGGTCGTGAGAAGTTCGTCTAACCCTGGCACATAAGCAGCCTTTTTGGCTAGATATCTTTCACCGTGACTAAAAGAATGCCGTTCGCTTTATCGTGATGTGCTTACCGGCGCTGACAGGGTTGCCTCGCGCGACCACTTCACCGGCGCAAAGCCTCACATCCCACAACATCATGGTTGGAGAGGTGGTACCTGCGCGTGGGTCGAGTCCATGTACTTGCTGTTCCGACCGACGGCTACACTGCGCAAGGGCAATTGAATTTCGGAAACTCTTCGTTCCTCGGACACTCAGTATTTGTTGTCATTTAATTTCACTCGCCGTAGCGCTGGGCCGCGGCGTCCATTATACAATAACATATGTGACGAGAGCGTCATCGGAGGGCCAATGTAGCACTTTCCACAAGGGCTTCGAGAAAGTCGTACAGCAATATGCTATGGTTGAATACCGGCTATTAATAGTGCGTTAGCGTAACGTCAACGGCTTTCCTACCTCGTGGTTTCGGGTGCTCGCTTGCTTGCAGGTGTACCCCGCCTAACCAGTGTTTCTGGCCGCCTCGTGTCAGACACTATCATCATTGCATTCGCCCCAACCCGCGCCTCATTCAGACAATGGTGCTTGGGAAACATGAGGCGGCACGGCCTTGGTCGTTGGCGACGGACTTTACTAAGACATGAGGTAATCGCGAACGGAGGGTGTTCAATGCTGACGGAGCCTGAGACATGGCCTCAAACCCCACGGCCACGGCAACGGCCACGGGCGCGTCCTGTCGTACATCGCGTGTGCCCTCAATGTCACACCAGGAAGGAACAGGATGTCAGACAGAATTTTGTGGCTTATTGGCGTTGTCCCGAGAGCAAGGGCTCGGGTTCGTGTTTGCTTCTGCTAGGCATCGCGAAGACACGAAGAACAATGCACCTGGGAGGCGATGGCCGTCGGCCACCTGCTACGCTAGGTAGCTACAGATGTGCAGCTGCAGCTGAACGCAAATGGTAGGTCGACGAGTTTTGGTAGGCGAGGTCGAAGACAAGGGCAAGCGGCTAGCGAGAGTCCGAGGATGTTGGATGTTGCGCAGGGCAGCGTGTAAGATCTAGTGGGGCGTTGGGAGATGAATGGGTGTTTCATTGTCCGCCAGGTTGAGATCCCTGCCAAAGCTGGCACCTCCCGTATGTTTGTGCACTCTTCAGGCCAGCACGTTTTCGCGGTTGGAGCTTTAGGGGCATTGCGCAAGGCTCGTGGGAAATACCCGTTCGCGTTACTCCACGTTTGAAAATGGAGTTCTGTGCGTTCATGGCACTATAGTTATCCCGCTAATCATCAACGTCAGAGCACGGCGACATTTGCCGTATCCTTGTCCGTACCATGGTGGTGACCGTGATGTTGGGACAACGGTAGGCGCCGCTTGTTAGGTACGGTAACGGTTATCATCAACGGCTAATGTGTCTGTTATGCATTGCTACGACAGACATAATGCACAGACATCGTGTCATGCTGTCAGAGATTGGTGTTGCATGTTGCCAATTGGTCGTAAATCGGCATGTGGGCGGTCAAACGTAGCTGGATCCAAGTCGCTTTGTGCTATGGGCCTGCGTCGTGCGATGCCAACGTCTCTTGACGAATGCATTTGTCTCGTTAAGGTAGATGCCCAGTATTCGGTTGCCTCATATCGCGCTCTCTATAAAACTCGAGGGAGGAAGTCCCTGGTAGCAGCGACAGCCACAGCATAGAGTCGCGCAATCTGCAGTGATTGTCGATCGTCGTACAAGTGGATGGTGTACAAATAACCGTGGCGCAGGGAGGGAGTGGTTGCAGTAAGGCTAGGAGACGTCAGGTTGAGGGCCCGAAAGCTACAACAGAGTGCTGAACGTAGTGGTCTCTCTCCTACCACACCTGTTCGGACTTTCGATTGTGGGTTGTTTTGTTGTCCGCACAGTGGTGTTCTAGTTTCGTCAGCCATTGTACTTGATGCACTGAAAGATGGATTTCGTACGCACTCAAGCATTGAGCATTGCTTGATTTTTCGATGATTGTCTAGTTGTCCTTCTGCTGGCCATGGCCACTTCCACAGCGAAGGTAGACAATCTTGATCGAGCTAGTTTGAAGGAAAAATTAGCACTGACAGACTCGTCGCTGTCGAAGGAGTTGGAGGAGATCGCAAGGGCGGCTGCGTGAAGATTTCACATCATCTAACAGCGGACCGATTGATGGCTGTCAAACTTGAAACATGTTGTGGCCTAGCCGAGTAACGACATCGCATCGAACGTGTCTTTCGCACCATTTACGATGCCATGTAGCTGCCTGTGTGGTGGAGCCGTAAGATGAGCTTGATGTAACGTCCGAGGAGCGCCGAAACTTCTTTACCACGGAGCAATTTGATTTGACATGGCCAAATGAAGAAGATCGCCACGTACGGTAGAATGTGGGGGGTAGAATTTGGGTCAAGCAAGTGTTACCACCGTGCAGTACGTATGCAATTGAGGGTCCGACGGAATTCATTGTGCTGCAAGGGCCCAACCCACCCATTCGGCATCGATCGTCTCTTCCATTCCCATATGCTGGCAACTCATGCCACAGCAGTGAGCTGAGTACATCAAATTTCCATGCCGTTGCTTCAGATGATGAGTCGCTAACCAAATGCTGATGCGGAAACGCTCATGCTGTTACCCGAGCTGCACACCAAATATCTGCGACGCCTACTGCACCCGTCTGCATACTGAGTTTGTTCTGATTATAACTCTCAGGACTTGAGACAGATCAAGGTTCAGTGGTTCGGATGGCGGGTGAGGTGGAGCAGGCGCCTCTACACATATTCGATAGTTTGCATTCCCGGGTAAGCAAAGGTAACAGCGGAGGAAGTATCGGTCCGTACAGCAGTAATGCCGTACTGGGGGTAACAATATTGAGGATCTAGACAACCAACTCAAGAGAGTGTGAAGGTCTAGAACGTTCAAACATGACGTGGGATCTCCAACTTGGTCGGAACTCACGGTTCTCGCCGTTCCTGCATGTTTGTCTTGGTGTGCACCACGTATTTGTCACAATACCCTGTTCAAATCGCCGATGCTTTCCAGAGTACACTTTATCGGCAGAACCACGGGATGGCTATATCCGAATATTGACAACCCCATTCGGAGGAATAGAGATGGTGGCAGGCGCTTTTTCGCAGGCTTCTCCTTGTGATTGCTGCGACACCAGACTCTGGATCTAATGAAGACGGTGACGAGTCGGCGAGGGTCGTGAGTTACGCCACCATGTCCGTCTCGGCATGACTTTGAACTCCGGCCATGATCAACAACTAATCTGGATGGAGCTTGGGGTGAGCGCAATACATGTCGAGCGACCAATAAGATCCACGATATTGATAGCAGGGAACAGCGTTATTGAGTCAACATGGGCTGAATCACCAGAGCCCTGGGACAGTGGTCGAGCATTGCGTGCAGCATGTCTGCGCATGCCCATCTTCGTGGATGCGGATCACAGCCATGGGGCCGTGTCGTGGACGTATTTGCTTTTCCGCTTCGTTGCGGGATTATCAGAAAGGGGGTTTGGTGGTACATGGATGTGGGGCTGGCCGATCCGATTCGGGCGCGGTCAGATCTCAACTAAACGGCTTCCTTCATTGGCGCCGCACGTAAGCATGTACAAGATGTGCACGCTAGAGCATACGCAAGAGGTCAACGACGAGTCAGAAAACATACTTCTTTGACTGTGCGCGTACGGTCGGTGGTAGACTTTGACCCACATCAAACAGGAGCGAAACAACGAGCAGGTGCGACCCCCGTAAATCGTTCGGTGCAGAAGAAACGTTTTGTTGCCCAGAATAGCGCTGTTTGAAACGACCAGAGCGCGAACGTATGGTGGTTTGGCCGCTGGTGTGCCGCTGTCAAATGTCGTGAGCCACACATCCACTTGTAGAACGACAGTTCAACGCCCGGGATCGAGAGTGAGGCGGGTTGCGTCGCCAATGGGAGCCCTGGGAAAAGGGGCAACTCGAGGAGAAAAGCAAGCAACAGCTGATGCGAGTAGACGGACAGTTTCACACTGATTAACACAGCCGGCAGAAGGTGATTGGCTCAGTGTAGATCACTCGTTAATCTGATCTGCAAGATCGAGGTAGCGGTTCCCTGCTAGGCGCCACAGAAGATCACAATGGGACAGGCCGTAAACTCAAATGTTGCGGCGCGCGGCGAAGTTTTTCCGTTCGAAGACCAGAATGCTGTATGGACACGGAGTCATGTTTGGCTTTGCCCAGCTGTCGCGAGACTTGCACAGAAGTGAACTGCTTCGCTGACCCCAGTCGTGAGGCGGCGCACAGTCGGTGGAGTCGCGAAGAACAGGATGTGAGCGTGCTACAATACGTGTGCTTCGTGACCAGCAGGGCTCAACGTCGCCGACCTCTTCTGTTGCACGACACCCGATTCCCATGATCAAGGCCAAAACCGATACCTGTCCATCGGGCTCCTCGCGGCCCTTCTTGCGCGTAGGCGTGGGCCGGTGGGTACTTATGGCGTCGTGGAGGATCTGGTACCCAGAAAATGGCAGGGGCAATCTTGCCGACTTGTGCTCATCCGTGGATCTGTTTCGTCTACCCTTCTCCCCGCGCAAATCTTGCTTTCTGTAGAAGTCAAGTGAAGGGGATTCCATGCTAGGGGCTCCTCCAGTCACAGTCAATATTCCACGAGTCGCAACCTTGAGATATTGGAATCTGCGGGTAATGTGGAGCGGAAAGTAGCCGCAGATGTGCAGGGGGCAGCAATCTGAGGTCGAAATCTCCTGCAGCATCGCCTCAACGCTGCTGAGGTTGCTCGGGCCCGAGGATGTTCGAACGCTGCAGGACGATGAGTTGTGTCACGATGTGTACGGAACGTTGCGCATGGCAGTGGCATATCCAGAGACATGGCTGAATCATTATCTTGAAGACAAGACCTTAGAAGCGGACACAGCATGAGCCACAACTGGACTGCTGGGACGACCGTTAGTCCCAGCTGACGGGATACTGCAGCAAGGGCTCCATGGCGGTCCCTCAAGAGTGCTTTTTCCTGTGCTGAGCGAAAAGCAGCGAACCACGGTCGCAGCGATAACAGGGATTCAGACCTCACCGACCAAGCAGAATGGCTGCCAGCAGCTCCAGCGGAACACGGACGTTGAGTAAATTCGATGGATGACATGCTCCGGTACACAGTGGGAATGATGTTGAGCAAGGACAGGGCTGGCAAGTGCCCATTGAAGGCGCCCGCCGACAGCAACGGCCCGCCGAATGCGAGAGCTGAATGCTTGGCCACGTCGCAATCGCTTTCTCCCTTGGACGCAGTGTAGCAAGCCGGGGTCTTGATTCAGTGGATCAGGCCTGCCAGCCATGCTGAGTCGCTACAGCGACGGCGGGCAACGATGAACAGGGCTGCTGGTCACTTCCGGACCAGTGAGAAAAAAATTGTGGCGACCGTTGAGGGTGCAGGCGATGGTGTCGACGACCAGCGCGAACGCGAAGAAGACGGCGAGGTGTCTGGATTGGTGCAAGGGTGCAGCCCCAGTGACGAAACGCAACACACCGGGAAGCTCGCGACCCGTTTTCTAGACCTGATGACTGGGTCACGCCATGCCGACTTGGATCTAGCGGGGCAACAGGGCAGCCAGAGCGTCGGAAACTCCCCAGACTCCCTCCAGCCACAAGCTACGCCGCAGCCATTGCGACAGGGCCTGGCGAGGTCTTCGGGGCACCCGGGCAGTTTCTGGCTGAGTGAGACCGACACATATCGCGTGGGAGGACAGGGAGCAGATTTGAGGCTGCGTCTTCTATTTTTGCGTCCGACATGGGCAACAGCGCACAAAGCGGAAGGCGACGACTGCACGCGGTAGCAGATAGAGTGCGTGTCCGTCATACCTATCCCCACCGATGGCGTAGCGCGTGGATGAGCAGTACGTACCCAGTACCAGGTCAACTTACTGCGTACCATGGACCCAGGCTGCGCAAGCAACGGTTTCCTATCTCGGCTTGGACTGGACGGGCAGCCCGTTGCGGACGGGTTGGCGCATCGAGAATGGTCGCTTTCTGGCCGCGATCGTTGGCCGTCGAGACCACATTGGGGACAAAGGGTGCAGGATCTCTATCGGCGAACGTCGATGATGAATGGAGCGATCATGTGTAAAGACAGATGATTAGCGCGCCAGTTGGCGGAACGTTGGCGAGATTCCCAAAACGTCCTCGCTGTCCCAAACTGGCCCGATTTCAAATAAAAACGGCACGCACTGAGTGGTGGGCACTCTAGCTACACCCAAGTTGGCGTGCAGCTCGCAGCTCGCTTTTGCCCGCCGGCACATGATCGCTGGGGTCGACAAAAGTTCTCCGACAAGAGGCCGACCTGTAGGAACACACGAGAAATGAGAAATAACTCCTGCTCGCCACTGCTCGCCAGAGCAAAGACTTGCACTCACGCTGTTGGTGGTGTGGGCGCGGCGCGTAGCGGAAACATCAGCTCCTCAGCCACGGTCGAGTGTGGTGAGTGGTGTGCGTGAAAACGCACGGTCAACCTGTCGCCCGGAAGAACGATGGTCCCGTTTGCCAAGAGGGACCTCGCCGACTTCCTCGTGTCCTCCACCAAGGACCGTGACGATCACACTATGCCCGCCCGGTCCCCATCCTTGCCTCAGCACCCGTTTGATCGACGGGCAGCGCTGACTGCAACGTGCATCGTGCTGCTGAGACGCAAGGTGTTCGCCCATGCAGAACCTGAGGAGACATGGGTTCTGTTCTGGGGAGAGCGTCGTCAAACACCAGCAGATGCAGATGCAGAATCCAAACCTCAGCGTGGATGCTATATCTGGACTTCAGCAGGCAAGGGCGACTGGCGCGGCTGTCCTGGAGCCCGGATGTCCCCCGTCTGTGGCTCGCTCCCAGGCTAACCGCACAACTCTGTGTACGTACCGGGATGGCGGAACACAGGCTGTCGTGGGAGCAGACCTACAGCGCCTGAGGTTCGGCGACGAGCGTCCACCCAGCGCTGCATGGAGCGGCGTCCGCAGAGGGCGACCTGAATGCTCGAATCCGCACCCCGGCGAGCTGACAGGCGTATGGTGCCTGGGGTTACGCTCGCTTTCGGCATGTTTGGTTTTACAGCACGCAGGGGACTGTGAGTCCTTGAGCAGACTCGCGCTGAGTGGGGGTATCTTTGACTGTCTCCATGTGGTCGACAAAACACGCTCCCTGTGCTGCACCGCCATGAATCGGCTGCGAAACGGCCAGGGCCCCCGGCAAACACCTCCACCTGAGGCGCAACCAGGGAGCCATTCACTAGACGTGTACGGCTACTTCCAGGATGCTATCGCGAAGCTGCGCGCGGGCTTTTGTTTTTCTGCCGCACCCAAGATGGCGCCGGGCGAGCGCCATACGCCATGCCACGATGTGATACAGGGTACTTGTCGACCCCGACGATCTGGTCCCCTTCCAGGTCCATCGCTGTTCGTTGCGTAGTCCAACAGCGATTACTTTAGCCCGCTGCTGCTCAGGGCCCAGCTAGTCGCTCAGTGCGCCGCATGACGCCCCAGCACTTTCCGACCACCATCTCACCAGGGCCTTAGCCGCATTCTCAAAAGCAGAATCCTCGCACACATCCTGCCCGTCCCGAACAAGTCAATAACTCCTCGACCGCCTTGGCGTCTGTGTCCATTACACTACCGCTCCCCGCGCCCGCTCTGTTATATACCGGTCCTCGCTCTGGCACGTTACCGTTGGCACTGGTCCTCAGCACGTCAACCACTTCCTCCGCCATCTATATCACAAATCTAACGTCCGGTTCCCACGATCTGTCGTTCCATCTCAACACAAATGTAAGTTCATGCATGATTCTGTTCCACTATTCCTGCACTCTCACCGCCGGTCGCCCTATCCGCCCAACTACATGATCCCATATGGTCGGTCAGCTGTCTGCCTTGTACTCCTTCCCATCAACGATCTTGTCATCAAGTACTGTTGTCATTCTTGAAAACTCTTCGCTCCTTCCTCAATTTCACTTTCTACTTGCTTGGCGAGTACCCAAGACTGACCAACATTGCAGTTAGCAACACTTCTAGTAGCATCACAGCTGGCCTTGAAGCAAGTCTGCATTCGTGCCTTGACAAAACAGTGTTCTTCGAACAAGAACACCTTGTCTGACGCTGTCATCACTCAACATCCCGAGGCTGTGACGAGAACACTGCCTTTTCATTCAAAACCTTCCTCCACATCATCCAAAATGGTTGCACATCGTCGCGGCCCTTGGTCGCAACACGAGGACCAGTGGCTCGTGAACCTCGTTGCTCGCAACGGCCCGCACAACTGGGTCCGCATCTCACAGGAAATCGGCTCGCGATCGCCCAAGCAATGCAGAGAACGCTATCATCAGAACCTCAAACCATCACTAAACCACGATCCTATCACTCCTGAAGAGGGGGAGCTGATCGAGAAGATGGTAGCAGAAATGGGCAAGAGATGGGCTGAAATCGCAAGAAGACTCAAAGGACGCAGCGACAACGCAGTGAAGAACTGGTGGAACGGCGGCCAGAACCGACGGAAGCGCAATCCAGAGCGGCCTGAGACTCGATCCCGCGACCAAATGCTGCCATCGCAGGGTGGCTACCACTACCCAGCAGCTCCTCACAGCCTCCATCATGACGAACCCCAAGTACAGTCCTACCACAGCTCACGACGACCATCGCTGAATCCTCCAACGCAAAGCCCTCACGCCATGAAGCTACCCCAACCACAGCGCTTCGAGCCTTACCCGGGATCACGACCGCAACCACTCGACATGTCTGCGTTCAGCCACCCATCCGCTGCACGAGCAAGAGGCTTCGAGACGCCGATGCCTTCTCCTTCTGGCTACTCGATTGTTTCTGCTGATGGTGCCCCCTCGCTCATCACAGACACGGGTTCAGAGTCACGGTCACCACGCGGTATCGCTTCACCCCTAGACATCACTCTGGCCCCACTCGTTGGCAACAGGGACGAGCGAAAGCACTCCAGCACTCGCTATCTACCTGCAACAGGCTTTGCACCCGAAGATGACTCCTACCCCTCGCACTTCGACAGCTACAGGCGTCGCAGCTCCTTCCAACTGCCACCTCTGCACCGCAGTGAGGCCCCAGCACCAGCGCGATCACCCGCCTTACAAGAGCCTGGCTACGAGCGCCCTGAACGGCCACAATTGCTCACTCAGCCTGCAACCCAGCTGGTACATCACCATTCGCTTCCGCTGTCCGCGCCGCTAAGCGTTCAGCAACGCGCACTCCCAGCTTTCCACTCATTAGCTGAGCCGACCCTGTCTACCTCATCCAGCGCTACAGCAAGCCCGTCTGCCAGGCAACTGCCATCGCCTTACGCGCGGCCTGCACTGCCATCGGACATCAAGACCGCCGCGCCTGTCTCACCCAAAGACAAGATGAACCTCAAGAACATCATGTAGATGCTTCTCCATTCAAGTCATGTTTCACGTTATCTACAATACCCCTTCCTGTCTATATCTGACGCGTTTCAAACCAATACTTCTATTAATGGTTGATCTTCTCCATGATCGACAGCTCGCTTGTCTCATCTTTTCCATTCTATCCATGTTTACAATCGTTTCAACACCTAGTCGGGATAGGGCACAAAAAGGGCATAGGGCAGAATTTCACGGCCGTTCAAAGATACCCCCCATGTACAAAGGATCTACGGAATCATTTCATTTTAGGCCACGAGTGACTTGCCTCGCAGTCTCATTCGCATTCGTATTCCTCAGTGTAATACCCAGCGTTACATCCATCCTGTGAGCGCACTTTTATCATAGCGAGCGTTGCATCGCATAGCCAGTAGCATAATAATACCCAACAGTGCACAAAAGCACCACGCATTCAGCCATCAAATCAGACCTTTCAACAACTCATAACGCTCTCAACGCTCACTGTGCATGTGAAATGACGCTGCCCTTCCTGCAGCCCAATGACGCCTCTCGACCCACTGAGCCAGCGCAACGCCAGCGTAAACCTCCCTCTCCATCCGACAAGGCCCGCCCCTCCCAGCTCAACTGCCCGATCCTCCAGCTCAACTGCCCGAACTCTCACTCCTTGCCAATCGTTGACAACTCGGCTGGACTGATTTGCACGCCATGACAGCGCCCTCATGCCGCCTACTGAGCTGTTCGTCTTGCGCGGACGCTGGCGATTTCCGATCTGTGCAGCCGATTGGTAGTTTGAAAAACGCTGCGTTTGCCGTTAACACTAGCGAATTGCAACGCCCGGTGTGAATTTTTTCATTGGCTCCCCTTTTCGGCGGACATGACATGTGTCTGCAGCGTGACGATGAGGGCGGAAGTGTTGCTCCATCTCCTCCCTCTGATCCATACAGTGCAGTTACGCATGGATGAAGATCAAGGACGGGCACATGTCAAACATCTCGGTACATGTTTCGACACTGCCGACTAAACACACAAGCAACATCCCTTCACGCCCACTGTAACTCACCGCTAAACTGACCTCACCTCTTCACACACTTGCACCCCAACGGCCCGATCCCAACGTCAACGCATGTGCAGTCGCCGACTGCGATCCGCACTACCCGCGCCCATCGATCACGCAGTCCATCCGTTTCCCTCCCACGCGGCGCCAGCCCGCATCCGGAAAATTGAGTTTGTGATTGCCTCCTAGCGTATATCTGGCCGTTGCTGCTTTGGGAAACAACTCAGACTTGCGTGTGGGGACTAGTGGAGTGGGCTAGTCGCTCCGCGTGCTCATGACATTTGAAATACCTACTTCGAACTTACGGTAGACTAGCAGATGGGTGAGGCCGCGGCTTAGGTAGCCGAGATAGCGTGGAAAGCTTGGGGTGAAGGTTTATTGACGTCTGGGAGTGGGAAAGCAAGAAAAAAACGTATGATCGACGCAGGCGTTTCGGCATGATCTGCAGGGTCACGAGAGGTGATAGATGGGGGAAGTTGGTGCGACATCTTCTCCACAGCACGCACCGGCGAAATGTTCCCTTTCCTAGCGGTGGAACGTGTCGGTTATGAACTTTTAACTTTGCGATTGCCATGTGTCGTTGAGTCGTTCGCATCGATGTCGCTGGAAACGTTATGTGCCGCACGTTTTTATTTGGGCTGGTTGAACGGGCGCGCGCGAACGTCTGGCGCTTGCGTGGTGGTTGCATGTTTTTGGTGCTAGAGTTTACCTCGTGCAGCGCTCGCCAAACGTGAACTGTTTGTTCGGGCGTCTGGAGCAGCTGGAGCCGTTTCGTTTCGACTGGACTGCGTTCATGCAGAGTGTTAGGTTTGAGGGCTTGCCTTGTTGCTTTCGCTTAACATGCACGCGTCTTTCGAACTATTGAATTTGTTTGACTTCAGGGTCATGTATCTGAGGCTGGGGAAGTTGAAATCTGCTGCTGTGGCTGTGGCGGCAGAAACGTTATTTCTGTTGTATGTAGAAGTCTAATTGATGTTGTGGTAATGAAGATCTCGGTCTACGGGAGGTGGCCAGTCAGTGGTCATCGGTATACCTTCACGTCGTGTTAATATAGGGGTATTCAATAAACTTAGAGGAAGGCCATGACTTCGTGCTTGGAAGACTACGACGATGTGCCGTCGTATCATTTCGGACATTTGAAGCCGCATCCTAGTGTTCGTATAGCTGCCACCGTGCTTACGCTCCGGTAGTTTCTCAACGCCTTGCTAAAGGCCGTTGGATGAGAAGGAGTCTCTTCTGCCACGCGCCCCTGACGCGTGTCAGATTGTGATGTCCTGGTGCACAAACCGATGAGCCAATTTCAACACATCAGTGACCGGTAGTGAGATGACGGTCGCGCGATGTCCGTCCGTATTTGTTGCACTGTGTGGAATTGTAACTTATTGGATGGGGGCCACTGGCGACCGTAGGCAGTGCTTGGTTCTCAACAGGCTGGGCGGTTCCCATCAGGCTGGCTGACCGATTTAGAACTGCTTCAGTGCAGAGTTTGACAAAACTCAACGGTCCCTCTGGTCGCTCCAGACCCGGAAACCTTTCGTTGGATACCTGCTTTCATCTGCTGTCCAGGTCCAGCCTCTGCATATCGGCGCCGCAGACCTGCATCTTTTCACATGACTGAACCTCGGAACTTCAGACGATCTAGTCGTACAAATGCCGGTAAGACGACGTTCAAGAATTTTCGCTTAATAACGCCGATGCCAGGTAACGGGAAAAGACAACGTGCGGGTCGGTAGGACCCCAGCATTAACGGTCATCTTAATGCGTGGAGTAATCGTATCGGCAACAAGCCCTGAAGCCTAACTGCTACGAGATGAGCTGTGCCGTGCGCGCACGGCAGACGCGGTATAAGCAGCCTTCTTATAACATGGTACACCACACGGCGCAATGCAAGCTGCTGGGATGAATTCCTTGCATTGCTATCCTGATTGTGAAATGTCGCGATGCTGGGGTCTGGAGAGCCATTATTGGTCGCCTTCACTTTTAGCCGCTTCTGGATTGGTGGAATTATCTAGCGCGACACGTGATGTCATATCTCCGAACAACTTCGAGATAGCAGGGGCGCCGACCTCGACCGTTTCATCAGCCTCATCACCACCGTCATCAGTATTATCGGTGTGTGCATACCTTCATCTATTCCCCAGCTACTGTCTCCCTTGCCTGCTCCGTCCTGGGTCTTTTAGCCGCACGCGAGGTGTGCGACTTTCCTCGCGCTTCAATGCGTGGAGCCGGGCATGTCCGGAAATAGTTTGTATACCCCGGATCAGAGCGCCCTAGACACTCGTTGGACACAGCCATGGAGTGAGGCTTTTCGAGTAAGTTACACATGGTGATGTTTCTGCCCTGTATTACGTTGAGCTTTGTTGCTCAATGGGCAATATCGAGTCCTGTACGACCCAATTTTGTCATTATCGTTTTCCGTTACGGGTCACATCGTGGGGCCACAACAGACCATTGCGCTGGGAGGTACTAGCAGTGTGTCAGACGTTGAACTGGCCACGAACATTGCTTCCATGCTTTGCGGTGTTACGACAGGCGCCCTGATCACCGAATGCAACCCGTGATTGTATTTGTATTCACTTGATTCGTGACTAACGAGCAATAGGCACAACGAGATGTCGGGTTGCGCATACCTATCAACTTTCACACCGCGCCGGCAGTCTCATTAAGCCAAGCTTGCTTCTCTGACAAACAATACGAGCACAATGCTTTTCGAAAATGCTTCTCAAATCTCCTTGGTGTAGGGTTCCGCAGATTTGCCATCGATGCTTACTGGGATGCCCTTCAATCGAGTTGGAGTCTCTGTCCGGTCGAGCAACCCGGACCTGAAGACGATGGTGCTGACGATGCTGTGTCAACGAGCTCCGGTTCTCTGGTCATCGCATCGACTGATACCATCAATGCGAAAATCCCTGAATCTACAGCTGTACCACTCAATAGCCTGGCTTTTGATCGTCGCCAGGATGCATCGCAGTCAACAGGCTCTGCAGGCGGATCGTCCCTAGCAAGTTCTTCGGACCCGACATCTGCCATGTCGTCGACGAGCGCCAGTCCAAGTGCCAAGCCTACCGTGATCAACTTCCCAAGTACGAGTGGACCACCGTTATCACAGATTGGGAGGTACAACTGCACTTTGCTGATGAGATTGGACTTACTCACGGGAATTCTGGACAACTTCCTCGATTCCACATCTACAACAACTGGTGCTTCTTTCTTAGTACTGACGCTTGATGTCCATGCCGCATCTTCGATCCTAAACCCCAACGAGCCAGCGACTGAGCTACCGACAACTCGACTACCGGGTACCGGCACCTTGTTAAGCGATGTCATGAAGGGCAATATCTCATCGGTGACATACACCCCTGCACTATTGCGAGACCAACGAAGTGACCTCAATTCATCATGGTTCGATGTTCAACCACCTAGCCAGCCTCTGGGCGGCTATTATGATATCAAGTACAACTCGCAGAGAAACAGATACACGATTGATGGCTGGCCAACGGAAGCGTTTGTCGAGTTCCAGAGGTTCTACCGGCTTAGTATTGGGTATGGAACAGTGGATCCACAAATGCGTCTGTATAATATCGGACCTGACTTGGATTTTATATTTCCTCCTGGGGCTCTCGAAAGGGAGCAGACTCCATCAGTTTCTTCGAATGGTCAGCTATCGTCAGGGTGCTTGTTCGATGCTTCCGACACAGGGGTGACCTCGCAAAGGAACTCTTCGTGGACTATCGCGACGGCACCAGCGCTCGATGTCGGCAGTCGTCCAGATCTCATGATACCGCTTCCTGCCGTCAGCAATCTCACGTCTTGTGGCATTACCCCTCTGCTCAACCAAACTCTAGGAGGAACCACGGCTGATAAAAATCCCTTACCATACGCTGCGTATGTTCATTCTACGCTGTGGACATGGGCACCAGGAGAGCCTAAGAATATCACCTCTGGTGGCGACAGATCAGACAGTCGCTGTGCAGTCATGACAACATCCCCATACTCAGGTCGATGGCGCGTCACTGACTGCAAGGATCGGTACCGCGTCGCCTGCCGCGTCCCTGGTCAGATATACAATTGGCAGATATCTTCGGAGACCTCTAGCTACTTTGATGCCGTAGAAGCCTGTCGCGCGCCGTACGAGTTTGATGTTCCGCACACCGCGCTCGAGAATGCGCATCTCATCGCTGCCATCGGTAGAGACAGTCGTACAACGCCAGACGAAGCGATTTACATCGACCTCAACGCCCTGAATGTTCCAGAGTGCTGGGTCTCAGGGCTGGATGGCACGTGTCCGTATCTGGCTACAGATGATAATGATAGAGTCAGGATTGTGGTTGTGCCTACGGTTGCGGCGGTGGTAATATTTTTGCTTGCGGCGCTTACGTTCTTCGTCAAGTGTGCGGCAAACAGGAGAGAGAACAAGAGGGGTAGAAGGCGGAGAATGGTCGGAGGCTGGGAGTATGAAGGTGTGCCTAGTTAAGGTTCGGCATTGCCTGGCTTGGGTATGTACTCAAAGTCTCGGGCGTAATAATTCAAGGACCGTATTGCAGTGACGTGTTAGAGGTTTACTTTCCGTATTATTACACCCCCAGTTTTCTCGCAGCAATGGAGTTAACTGGTAGCTGATTGAAGAAGTTTAGAAGCCCTACTCCGCTCTGAGTAGTGCTATCTCTGTTTGATTCGTTCCCCATCCCCGCCACCAATACAGCCTAACATGATGTGAATCGACCAGATTACTCTCAGAAAGACACAAACATGGAAATCCAGCACTGTGAAGACACAAGGTCGCGAACGTATCAACCTGCAGCTGTTGAGATTGGTTTGTTTGAGTGAAAGCTACGATCGAAGGTATCGAGATGGCAGGGTTCAGCCTCTCGTGATGTCCCCTTCACTGCCTCGCCCTTGTGCTCTAATACAGTCTCCTCGAATGGAAAACGCCGACAGGCTTCTGTATCACCTTTTACAAATTAATATAAGAGCGACTCCGAGATCAAAACTTTCCTACCGTCGACAGAGTCCTCACCCACCCAACCTCTACAACCCGAATCTTTTTAACACCACAACACGTTTATCTGCTGCTCATCATACTGAAGCACTTTAAAAAGAGAAACAGAGCAACTGAGAGATCGACCCAATTGACATGACCTGCAAAGAGGAACACTACACACGCGAAAGCCATGCTCCCATCCTACGCCTTCAACTTCAGCTCACTAGCATCGCCTACGGTTACATCCGCAACCGCAATGCAGAGCGCCAACGACGCATCGACAGGCTCAATGTCGCTGTTCGCGCGCGCAACGAAATCACCATTAAACTCAACCAAATGCGGCAGAAAGTGCGCGCGTGGATGCGCGAAGTAGCCGCTGTTCGACTTCAAACCACGGAGATGTTGAGAAAGTTCAGGGCAGATTCAACTTCGGTTACACCGGGGGATTGGCAAGCGACGTTCAAAGGCCAGCGGTACAAGCTTGCGATCATATGTGGCAGAAAGGAACTGGAACGCTGGCCTGCGGGCGTGCCGAGCTTGAATCTCATCGCGCTGTCTATATATCGGTGGGAGCAAATTAAGGCTCATGAGAAGATAAAGGAGGCTCATCAGATGAGAAAAAGGGTCTGTGACGAGAAGAAGGCTCACGAGACGAATGAGGATGGTGAGAAGCATGAGGCTCGTGGTGTCAAGGCTCACGAGAAGAAGAAGGCTCACGAGAAGAAGAAGGCTCGGACGCAGAAACGGCTTGAGGCTTTTACGCGGCCGATGGACAGCGGTGACGAGGACGAGACCAACGCAATGGAAACACCCAAGAAATTCGCTGCTAACGGTGGAAAGCTAAAGGGAGCGCCTGTCAACTCCAAGGACTCGTCCGCCATCGAGGAAGAATTTGCGCGTACCGAATTCCAGGTTAAGCAAGCTAAAAAGCAACATGAATAACTTAGCTGCGCAGGAGCCGGATTGCGCCTTGGGTTGTGTCATATGAGCAATGGTGCGAGGCGTGTAGAGGTACCGATGCGCTAGAGAAGCGTCCTCAGATTTGGAGATTTCGTGAGATTGCTAAGCGTCACGAAGCTGAAGAGAAGTTTGACTATAGGGTGTGGACAAGCGATTGAGGAGGTGAGATGAGCTTCAGTGAACGGGCGGACTCTTGGCAGGTGGCATGAAAGGCTAGGAATAGCCCGTAGATTGTATCGCGATGCTTGTACTTGGCTGCAATAGCCATGTACGAGCTTGTTTGTGCATGGATTTCTTTTCTGTAGGATATGGTAGCCTGTGAACGCCCAGCAAAGCAACAAAATTGTACTCAAGCCATAAGCATAAACTCCGTATGAATAGTCGTAACCCTTGAGCCCCTAATTCATCATATCATCATTGCCAAGTGTTGCTCACACTTGCACTCGCCTGACAACTCGGCACACTATACGCCCTGTTTGGATCGCTCTCCCATGTCGCCGTACCGGTGCTCGATACTTTGACGTACTTGTACTGCACTGCCGATCCCGCTGCCATGCTTAGATTAATTGTCCACACAGGATTGCTCGAAGTGTACGACGAGGCGGACATGGCGGGCGCATTACTCGGGTTCCAGTTGCCCAACTGTGCAGTGTTGCCGACAATTTTGATGGTGTCGCCGGGCTGGGTGACGACGCGCTCGGTGAAAGTGACTGAGACGGTGGTCGGGCATGATCCTGTAGGAGCTGGGGCGGCAGAGGTGCGCAGAGTGGTGGGTGTGCTGCCGGCGCTGGTAGCGAGAAGGACGATGGGGTTTCCCTGGCTAACGGTAACGCAGACTTGGCCATTGCCGTCGGAGCTGATGACGTTGCTGCTGCCGCTGAAGACGTCGGTCCAGCGTCCGTTAGCTTTCTGAGCGTTGAAACAATGTTGAGCGTTGGAGCTGCTGCCAGAGTTGGTGGTGAGGACAATGAGGTTACCACCAGCGCGAGACCATGCGTATGCGGTGCTGGCGACGTAGATATGGACGTGATCATTTCCTCCAAGTCCTCCAGCAGCTTTGCGAGCCGCAGTTAGCTTCTTGATGGCTTGGTACATGTTTGTGTTTGTGTTGAAGCCACTGCGCCAGAGGTCTTCGCGATTGGCTGGGTCATTGCCGCCAGCGTAAGCTTGCTCAGTCCCGTAGTATAGAATGGGGATACCTCGAGATAGAATAACGAAGGCCAAAGCGTTCTTAAGCAGAGTCTGGTCATTCTTGACACTTAGCCATCTTGCGTTGTCGTGGTTGTCGATAAACGTGCCAAGAGCGGATGGATCGGGGAAGGTGCTAGCGACCGTGTTCATCATGTCCACCAAGTCTTGTGAACTTCCTGTCTGCTGATAAAAGCGGTTCATCGGATAGTAGGTCGCATAGTTGAGCAGGCCGGGCATAAGCTTCGCATACTGAGCCAAGTAGGTCGGGTTACCGTCCCAGACTTCACCGATGCTGTAGACTCCAGCGGCTTTAGCAAAGTCAGGCCAAAAGTCTTGTTGGACGTGTTTGACGGTGTCAATGCGGACACCGTCAAAAGTGTACTCCTTGACTAGCCAGTTAACCCAGGTGTTCAAAACATTCTTGATCTCGCTCGATTGGGTGTTGAGATCTGGAAGTCTGGCAATACGGCAAACTTCAATCGAGGTCTGGTTGTTGTAGTCGATATCGCAATCAGAGTGGTATGCCGAAGCTTGGTTGAGAGGTGAGGGTTTGTTGTCGGAGATGGCTCCTTGGCCCATGTGATTTGCTACTACATCGACCATCACATACATGCCCTAATTGAACTTAGAAGTGTAAACCAATATCGAGCGAGTATGAATACCTTTGAGTGCGCAGTAGAGACAAGGCTCTTCAAATCAGCAGCAGTGCCATAGTTCGAGTTGATCGAGTACAAGTCCTGGGCCCAATAGCCATGGTAACCACCTGCTGAGTCTGTCGTACCTGTCAGCACCGCGAAGGAAGTGGGCAGATAAAGACTTACTGGCAACGACAGGTGTGATCCAGATCGAGTCAAATCCCAAGTTCTGAATGTAGTCAAGCTTCGATTCAAGACCTTTGAATGTACCACCGCAGTAGTTCCCAAGGTTTCCGCATGCACTTCCGCCAGTATCACTGCTGCTACGAGCTATGCGGTCGGTGAGAACAAAGTAGATGCTGCGGGACTTCCACGCATTGCTGTCTGCTGCTGAGACGAAAGAAATTAAGCACAGAAAGTAAGCGACGATGCATTGAAGGAACAACATGTTGAGTGGTGCGATGAGTGAGCGCCCTAATTGGTGAAGTCGACTGATACCGTCGTGGTACTTTTGGTGGGGTTTGGGATCGCTTTATAGCCAGGCAGCTCCCTGACAGCGCAACAGTATCCCCAGCTTTTGATGCTCAAAAAGGTATCGCTTGGCGCAGTGGGCGGATGTGTGGGAGACCGGAGTGATTAATGTCACGCGTAGTTGTGCCGTCGCACCGAAGAATACGCTAGAAGTCGACGGTGGTGTTCTTGTGCCTGACGGACCGCCTAGCGTCCAGTAAGGAATGTCACCGTAGACCAGGCTCTGGCGGTGATGTACTGCTGGGTATAAAGGATCGCCAGTCGGACCGAGGACTGTGCCGGTAGATGGGCATGAAAGCAGGACCTCGTGGACGCGGAGCCGACGTGTGGGGTACATGAAACGGTCGTACGTCCGAATTAGGAAGCTGGGAGAAGAAAGTGTAGACGTCAACTTTTCCTGTCAAACACACTTGCTTAGTTGCTTTCCAATCTCCGTGCAGCGTATGTAAAATCCTCGGCGATGCGATGGAATGCTAGCAAAGGGTGCGGGATGCATTGTCGTTCTGCCAGAAAGGAGGTTACAAGCTCCAGATCTGACCTCGGATCTGATTTTCGCGTTGCGGGGCATCGCAGTCTAGCAAATCGTCGCACGGAAGTTAGATTAAAGGCGCGGGCCGGAACTACTAGTCGCTCTCGTGATCGGTATGTTCACCGTAGTTAGTATCTCTCCAGGCGAGGACGCTGTTGTACTCCGACATCTGCCCAATGGGAATGAGCTTCGGACATGCCACCTTGAGAAGGTGTAGCACGCTGTAGGTGCAAGCGAACATCGCAAATAGACGAAGTCGCGACATATAACGACGTGATGCGAGCGAGTACAATGCTGTACCAGAGCAGCAAAAGGTAGTTTTCTCTTGATCCTTCTTCAGTACAATTCGTCTCATCTCGCAGCTACGCTCACTGAGCAGCTTGGGATCCTTGAGCCAATATGAGACCTTCGTACAGCCTTCTTTTCGCCCTTGCGGCCTGTGTTCGAGGACACGGCTACCTCTCGTCTCCTATGAGTCGAACAGGGCTCAATGCTCAATCCGGCGCTGACACCTGCCCGGAGTGCACGATCTTAGAGCCCGTCACCGCATGGCCTGATTTAGATAGCGCTGCGGTTGGGCGAAGTGGTCCTTGTGGATACAATGCGAGAGTTTCGGTAGACTGTAGGTATCGCCGACCCGAAGAACTCGGCTCCCTGCTGAAACCCCCTTGCAGACAATCAGCCTGGCCCAAAATGGGGTAGTCAACCTGTCATTACCTATACAGCTGGTGATGTCGTAGACGTTCAGTGGTGTCTCGATAACAATGGCGACCATGGCGGCATGTTCGCCTATCGTATCTGTCAGGATCAGGCCCTCGTCGATAAGTTCTTACAACCAGGCTACCTTCCCACCGAAGCCGAGAAGCAAGCTGCTGAAGACTGCTTCGAAGCAGGCACGCTGAAATGCACCGACGTTGCCGGACAAAACTGCGGATTCAATCCAGACTGCCAACAAGGGCAGCCATGCTGGCGCAATGACTGGTTTACCTGCAAAGGTTTCCAAGAAGGTAGCAAATGCCGTGGAGTAGACAACGCGCCTATAAACTCCTGCTTTACCAGCATTGCCGGCGGATACACGGTCAGCTCGAAGATCAAGATACCGAACTACGCCTCCAGCCATACATTGTTGTCCTTCAAGTGGAACTCGTTCCAGACACCGCAGATCTATTTAACCTGCGCGGACATCAAAATCGCAGGTGCAGGTACCGGAACCTCTCCGAAGCCTTCGACATCCAGCAAGCCAGCTACATCCACCTCATCCACTAAAGCAGTCCCAAGTGCATCGGCAACTGGCTGCGCGACACCAGTCTCGAATGTTGCCGTCACCTTCAATTCGAAGAGCACTACGTCGGTTGGCCAGACAATCAAGATCGTCGGTTCCATCTCGCAGCTCGGAAGCTGGAATACGGCCAATGCGCCGGCGCTCTCTGCGGAGAAGTATACATCATCAAATACGCTCTGGACGACAACGATCCGTCTACAAGCGGGAGTAAGCTTCGAATACAAGTTCATCCGGGTCGCGAGCAGTGGTGCAGTCGCATATGAGTCTGGTGCGAACCGTGCGTACACAGTGCCGAGAGGGTGTGAAGGAAACCAGACGGTCGATACGCAATGGAAGTAGCGAACATGCTGAGTGGTGCGTCGGTATAAGTGCGAAATGATGACGGCCGACATTGTTCGGCATTTGATGTCTAGTTCTTACTGTACCACATGATTCTAAAATTATCAACTAACAATATTGGCAGAAAGGTTAAGGTCTTGGTATCGAAAGTTTTCGGTGCTTATGCTCTGCGAAAACTTATGCGAAGCACTCGCGATAGTGGTGTTCGACGATTTGGCATCTTAGTAATAGTTACTTCGATCATGGCTTCAAAGACAAGCTGAGAACATTTGTGCACTTTTACCAACTGTTAACGTCTTTTTCCCCGTACACAGTGAGAGCGTCTCCGAATTTAGAGTTCCTGGTTCAACAGCATGGGCCACATCCACAGCCATTATGCAAGGATAGGCTTTCGTTCTTTAGCTCCGTGGCGTTGTCTCATTACGGGATCCAGGAATCGTGCTGGCTGCGGAAAAGCACGCATCTCCTTGCGCAAAGTCAAAGATGAAGTATGGGTATATAAATGCATACATCATAGTTCAGGATTGGTCTTCGCACGTGTTGCAGAACGAATCGAAGATAAAGCCCGGGGAGATGTTCCGTGGTGGCTCCGTTGTTTGATCAACCAATGGCTAGAAGAATTGAAAGTGACGACTTTCGAAGATCGAAGTATTGTGCTTTTCCATTAAGGCCCATTACCTTTGTAGTGGAAGTGATGTGATGAAGCGCGATGGGGGAGTGCGGAGAAAACATCAAGTTCCAAACGCCAGGCCGGCTAAACGGCGGGGAACGCTAACGTGCCCGTGCGCGACGCAATCAGAGTCGCGTAATAATCACTAAATACTATATAGATTATCTTAAAAATAAAGCTATAATAATGCGTATAATAGCTATTATTATAAGATTTCTTAGTAGTTTAGTAAATAAGACTTTATAATTATTTTATATTATTTAAATTTACTTAGAAGCTTAACATTATAGCTATATAATATTACCTAAAGTAATAGAGAAGATAGAGTAAGTAAAACTTAAATACTACTTATAGTATCTTTAACGCATTTCTAATACTTCTTCTTAGAAAAGACTACTTATAAGGCTTTACGCTTACTCTTTTAGAATAATTATATAGCTTTCTTAGTATTATACTGCTATTTTTAATACTTACGTTTAGCCTATTTCTTAGCTTTTTTTTTTTTTCTTATTATCTTAGCTTTCTTTTATACTATATATCTCTTCTTAGCCTCTTATTTTTTAAGAAGCTTAGCAGACTTATAGAGCTTCTTAAGCTTTAATTTCTAGAGTTTCTTTTCTATCTTATCTTTCTTATAGTAGTGCTCTTATATATAAGTATTCTTAATCTTTTAAGAAGACTATAATACTATCTCTTTATAGTACTTTTAGCTCTTCTGCAGAGTAAGAGCATAGCTCTTTTTATACTTCTTTTTAGTAATAAGAGTATCTTATAGACTCTTATTTTTATAGTATAGTAGCTTATTTTTAATATAAAGATAATAAAAATTAAGATAAAGCTTTTAAGCTACTTCTTCTATATTATTCTTTACTATAAAATATAGTAAATACTTAGATTCTTACTAGCTATTTATATAATTATTTCTCTTATTTTCTTCTCTTTATAGTATTTACTTCTTAAATCTCTAAAGAATAATATTAGTATTAGCTAGTAAAATACTTATTACTTTAAAAGACTTAAGAATAGTCTTCTTCTTAAAGCTATTTATCTAGGTACGCTAGAATAGAAGAAAGAAGTTATTTTTTCTTATTAGTATTAGCTCTTAGCTATATTAAATATAGTAAGTAAGCTTCTATAAATAAGCGTTAGAGAGTAGCTAAAATATAACTATATTAAGTAGCTATAATATATAGATTAAATAAAAGAGAAATATAAGTAATAAGATATAATTATAGCTATAATACTTAATAAAATCTATAGTTACGTAGCTTCTATAGCTATCTAAAATAAGTAGTCTTTATAAGCGTTCTGCTTTCTTCTTAGTATACTAATTAAACACCTATTTAAGCTAGGCTATACTAATATTATTATTACTCTAACTTAATAGAGTTATAGTAATAAATATCTTATGCTTACTAAAGTTAATATTCTTTATCTAGAATAATTATATTATCTTAGAAGCAGCACTAAAAATAAAGCCTAGAGATAATACTAAGCTATCTATATAGACTATTACTATAATAGTTATCTACTTATATAATCTATTCTAAGTAGCATAAATAACTTCTTTCTTCTTATATATATATCTGCTAAATACTTATTTTGCTCTATTAATTACTCTAATTATAAACCTCTTTTTATCTATATTATATATATAACGCGTTTCTATATTATATTAGATAATCTTTAAGTATAGCAGCTTAAAGTAATAAGTATACTTTACTTTAGAATTAGCTATATAATATATATAGTCTATAAGTTAAGTCTATTAAGAGATAAGATAGATTTTATAGTAGTAGATAAAGCGCATAATCTAGCTCTTACTAATCTTCTTCTTAGCTATATATAAGGTAAAATTTTATATTATCTCTCTTATAAGTAGAAGCTCTCTCTTTATTAAGTTTTTAATATATTATATAAGCTCTAACTTTTATTATAAGGTAAGCTTTTATTAGCTAGAGTTTTTAACCTCTTAAGATAGCTAAAGACTCTTATATTAGCAGAATAAAGTAACTCTATAAATATTATACTAGCGCATAACTTTACTATATATAAAATTTTCTTCTAGTTTTATTAGATATAATAAGATCCTAGATAGAAATTATTATTATTATTCTATCTAAGATGCGCGCAGCATCTTATTTGCATATATAAGAGCCTCTGCACCTTTCTTAGTAAGTTAATTGCCTAACTTATTTTATGTGATGCCTTCTATCTAACATACTCTCTTAGCTTAGAAGTCCTCCTTGCAAGCTACGCATCTTAGTTAATTAGCTATAATATTAGGCTCTCTAGTTGCTCTTACAGTAACTCTAGTCTAGCTTTCTTTAAGAGAGCTTTTGTATGCTTAATAAGTTCTAATTAATTAAGGAAGTTAGCCTATTTATTAGCTAGAAGAGCCTTAGTAAATCTATCTGCTATTATATTATTAGATAGTATATACTCTACCTTAATTATCTTCTAGGTAACTTCTTATCTTAGCTAGTAGTAGTGTATATTAATATGCTAAAGTTTTATTTAAAGCTTAGCTACGTCTTCTATTACTAGTCTAATAGTCTGCTTATTATTGCATTTAATTATAATTATTAGGTTACTAAGGTTAATCTAAAGCTTCTTTAGCAGCTATAATATAAAGATAGCTTTCTTTGCTATCTAAGAGAGCGTAAGTAGTTTAGCTTCTATTATTAAGGTTATAACTATGTCTTATTTACTTACTCTCTAGGTTATAAGACTGCTAAAAAGTTTAATAGCATAGCCTTATAAGCTTTTCTAGTTAAGAGTATTATCTGCAAATAATATATTACTTATAACCTTAAAACCTTTACCTTTCCTAAGCTTAAGAGCTAGGTTAGATAATTACTTTAGATATAGTAGTATCTAGTCTGCTGCCTCTTAATGCTTATTACTTAGATTAACTAGGAATTAAGTAAGGCGCAATGTTATAAAGGTAATATCTAGCCTTATAGTAACTGCTGTAAATAGCAGAGATCTAATCTTGCGCTAATACTTATTAATTTTAGCTAGCGCTATAAGTCTATCTTATAGTAGAAGTTTAATGCCTAATATTAGCATATTATATCTTATACTCTAGTAATTAATAAGTAGGCTGATTTTATTAACGTAGGCAGCTTAGAATAGCTAAATAGTCTTCTGCTAGCAGTTATATATAACCTCTACTCTAAGAAACTACTATAAGTTCTCTTCTTCTATATAGAGATATTTATCTTAGATCTGTTTAATAGCCTTTAGAGCCTCTAATTCTTTCTTTAAGTAGTACGCAATAATAATATTATCTATATAGAAGAAGATAATTACTCTATCTTTAATTATATAGCATAGTTCCTATAGTATTTATTAGAACTCTATAGATATAAGAGTTGCAGTAAACTCTTCTTGCTATAGTAGCAGCAAAATCTAGAGTCTATATAGTGCCTTCTGCACTTTTAGTAGAGTGCTAGGTTTCTAATACTCTCTTAGCATCTTTATATATATTTCTTAGTTAATTGCAGCGTGTATAAAGGCGTTTATAACGTTATATTGCTTTAGTTTAAGGTTAAACTTAGTAGTAATAGCTATAAGCATTTAGAATAAGCGTCTAGCTAGTATTACTGCATATATATCTTAGAAAGTAATATTTCTTTACTAGTCTTCTCTTACTACTAGTCTTGCCTTGCATTTATTAAGGTAGTAGTGTTTATTAAGTTTGTAGGTATATACCTATATATAGTCTAGAATCTAATGCTCTGCTCGCTTTATTAGCAATGCTTAGACTTTAGTCTATAACTTTATTTATTAATAGCTCTAAAGATAAGTTTCTTCTGCTTCCTTAAATATTTTATATAATAGATAATCCTCTAGCTTTAACTGCGCTAATAGAAGTAGTAGTAGCTAATTATAGTAAGGCTTAATTTCTTTAGAAAGCAGTCTCTTTACTTAGGCTTTATTAATTAGCTTTTCTTTATATTTGCTAATATATTCTAATTTAGTGCTAGCTATAAATGCAGCAGCCTATAGATAGGTTATTAATATTAGTTAGGTAGATATGTTTATAATATTCTTATTTATTATCTCTTCTTAAACTAGCAAGGCTATAGGTAGAGAAGTTAGTAGCAGTATTAGATATGCATCTATAATCTTTCTTCCTTAGTAGTATATAGTTTTCTAAGAATATAGACTCTTCTTCTATATTATATTATTCTTATAGAACGTCTTAGTTTCTAGTTATTAGCTCTAAGTCTCTAGAAGTTCTATTATTCTTATCTAGGCTAAAATCTTCTTAAGAGTGCTGTGCATAAGATTATCTATTAAGTTCTTAGTTTTGCTATTAAAAATTATTTCTTCGTTAAAGACTATATTATAAGTGCTAATTACCTTAGCTATAGAAGAGATCTATATATAGTAGATATTTATTAATTAATATTCTACTAAGTAACTAATCTAGGCCTTAGAATTAAGCCTCTATAGTCTTAACTTTTCTTAGTAGATATTATCTATTATTGCAAAAGCTTTGCATCTATATGCTTTTAGATAAGATTAGTTTAGTTTTTAGAGTCTAGTAACTATGCTGTTTATAGCTATAGCGCATATAAAGAATACTTCGTATAGTATCTTCTAATTATTTAGATAATTTAGCGTTTAATTATAGAGGTATACTACTGCTCTTATAATCTCTAGCTAAAGTTCTTATAGAAGATTTGCATCTAGTTAAATTGCATATGCCTTCTCTTTTATTATACTCTCTAAGCGCTCTGCTTCTCTATTCTAAGCTTAAGTATCTAGAGCAGAGAGCTTAAGTCTAATTAATAGAGACGTGCACTATTTCTTAACTTCTTATTTAATAGTAACAATCTCATTATCTATCTTAATAACTTTAACTATAATATTAAATTATTTCTTTATAAACTAGATAAAAAGGCCTAGAAGTTATATAATTAAGCAGGCTAGCCTATTATTCTTAAAATAGAAATCTTATATAAATTAGATACGTCTGCAGGTAACTAGCATCTAGCTCTTCTTCTTAGTAAAACTGCCTTTCTTATACTTATAGAAATTAATAGTAATTCTTTTGCTAGGTTCTTTATTATTTATCTTTAGAGTTCTGCGTATTTAGCATTTTAATTTTAATCTACTATAAGTATTATATTCTATAGTAATAATTCCTTTAATTCTTATCTTCTTAGATTGCTAAATAAGGTACTTAATAGCAGATAGACTAGAATGCTCTAGTCGTTTATGCTATAAGATAGTAGTAGCTCTTTATAGTAATTATTTAGCTTAATTTATACGTATATAGAAGGCTAATAGTAGTGTAGTAGGTTATTTAATAATCTATTACCTATAGTATTCTAATAGAATAGCTATAATTAAGCTATCTCTTTATTGTAGGCTTATTAGATTCTCTTAGTTATTCTACTATATACCTTATTATTAGAGTAGCTAGAAAGAGATAAGATTGCAGAGGAAATCTAGGCACTATATAATGTTTTTAAGATATATAATTTATTTACTCTAAGATCTCTCTGCTATTACTCTAATAGCTCTATATCCTTATATCTAAATTATTAAGTTTCTAGCCTAGATATAGTCTTCTATCTCTAGGTCGCGTATATCTTTAAGTTAAGAGAGATTATTATAGATGTGCGTTATTAAGCTAGAGTCTAGGATAAATATATTCTTTAATAGATATCCTTAATTGCTTGCAGCAAAAGCTACATTTATTATGCTCTTATCTAGTCTTAAGATCTTGCGTCTATCTAGTTACCTAGATAATTCTAGTATATATAATATCTTAATTTAAGGAGTAATTAATTAGAAGGCTATTATAGTAAGGCGCAGTTGCTTAGATTTGTGTATATTCTCTTCTACTAGCTTCTATAAGCTTAGGTTATATTTAAGTTTATACTATACTAGTTTTATAATGCCTTAGTTTAGTTTAAACTATTCTAGTTATTAGCTATTTATATAATAGCAGTTAGCTATATTATATAGCTGTTTATAAGCAGGATATATGCTCTTAGCTAATGCTATACCTCTCTCTATAGATTACCTATTCTTCTGCTTATATATTAGCTTTAAGTTTTCTCTGCCTTAGTTATTATTTATAGATAGTGCTCTTATCTTAATACTAGAGGCGTCTCTCTATATAGCTAAGTTAGATTTACTGCCTGCTGCATATAAGGCTTCTACTACTAAGAATATATCTTTTAGCTTTTCTCTTAATAGATTATAGAGGCTTATATAATTGCAGAAGAGTTTTATTATTCTTTTTCTATTAATAGCTTTCTTATTATATTCTAGCTTATAGAATACTATAGTCTAGGTTAATACTACTTTTAATACTAAGCCTAAAAAATTATCTATTATAGCTTATATTTGCATAACCTTAGCTACCTTAAGAGTCTTAGCTTAAGTTATAGCTTAATTATATTTGCTTAGCTACGCTTTCTAGTTTGCAAGTATACGCATTAGCTTAAGTATAGCATAGTATCTTTCTTATACTTACGCTTATTCTTTATCTACGTCTACTCTAATAGTATCTTAGAGAGCAGTTATCTATTCTTATAATATTCTATTTTCTAAGCAATAGCTTAGTTATAAGTGCAGAGTTACTATTATAAGGATATATTTAACTATCTTAGAGATCTTATTTCTCTTCTTCTAATAGTCTCTCTTATATATCTTATATAATTCTAGGCAAAGCTTATAATCTTTGCAATCCTCTTTATATGCTTCTAAGCTCTTTTTAGAAAGATCTAATAGTTAAATTAGTATTATTAGAGTATACGATAAAGACTGCTAAATTTTAATTAAGTCTTAGGCTATTATATAAGTATTACTTTAACTAGCTCTAATAGTATGCAATAATGCTGTTAATACGTTATTTACGCTTATTGCTAGTTTAAATTAGGAGATATCTAGAGGCATTAGAAAGATTAGTCTAATAAGAGGATATTAGATTTCTTCTAGGTCTGCTAGTAACTAAATACCTTAAGATTAGCATTTTATTTTAAGTTAGCAGTACTATAGGATCTAGCTCTCTATATCTAACAGAATAACTATCGTATCTTATTAGTTAAGATTTAATAATATAGTTAATAGCTTCGTAGAGGTAGTAAGACTCTTAATTATTAGATATAATAAGATCCTAGATAGAAATTATTATTATTATTCTATCTAAGGTGCGCGCAGCATCTTATTTGCGTATATAGGGGCCTCTATACCTTTCTTAGTAGGTTAATTACCTAACCTGTTTTATGCAACGCCTTCTATCTGACAAGTTTATACAAATTAATTACTTTAATTATAGCTTAGATTAGATCTATAGTTATAGAGTTATAGCGTATTAAAGTATAGTATTATTCTTATGTTTTAGTATTTAGTAATTATTACGCGACTCTGATCGCGTCGCGCACGGGCACGTTAATCTATATGAGGGTTGGCTTTGCTGACTCAAATCTCCCGTCCAGATGATCATGATCACAACAACGCCTTCGCCGTACAACATACGTTACCAACGTGGTCACTAACTCGTTCGATTGGCGGTAATTTTACGGCGTAATCTCTGTGCAATTGGTGGCATCGTGCGATATTGGCCCCCTGTATTACTTTGCTTGTCGGTCGTGAGCACATCGTCGCAATCGCACTCAACAGTAGCTGCGAGGCTCGTCTATGTGAATATACCTTTGCGGAAAGCGAAGACGCGAAATGGATCTTAGGGTCCCTGTTTGGAACTGATTACCAACAGTCAATCTCAATGAGATGACGTTTTAACCCCTCACGCAAGAAATGCCATGGAAAAGCTATAACCAGAATGGCAGGCCAAGCTTACGTCTGCTGGGTATCCTGGTCTTGGACGAATGATACGCAGATTCGATCCGTGTTTCTGGAATGGTTCCTTGCACGTATTCAGGCAAACATGGTCGTCATTATGCCGAGCATGCCGCAAGTACAGCATGCCCAGTGATAAGCACTGAGGCAATGATAATTGTATAAAGCCGCCGTCAGAGGAGTTACACCCCTTGTCGCATCTTCTTTGAGCGTCTCGAGGCAAAAGCAACCATGAGGTTTGCATTCAATTTTCTCTGGCTTTCGCTTGCAGCTGGTGCAACCGTTCGCAGCCCAGTTGCAAGCGAACACGATGGGTCCAGAGTCTACCGCGTCAAAGCTGGTCGACAAGCAGCTTCGGTTCACAAGAGATTGGCTGGAATAGCATCAAACACATGGAATCAAGCTCATGGTAACCTCGACGTGGTCATTCCGCGTGATCAGATTGAGGCATTTGAGGCTCTCGGATTGAATACCCGTATTATGCATTCTGACCTGGGAGAGTCAATTGCGAAAGAGTCCATGGTGAAGAGGAAGAACTGGAAGCGACAAGCAAACGACTCTCAGGATCCATGGTTTGACAGCTACCATCCATATGACGATGTACGTCTCAGAATTTCATTGCAGGTTAACATTTACTGACTTTACCGCTCAAATAGCATGTCGAGTGGTGGCGTGAGCTTCAAGCTTCGTTTCCGAACCAGTCAAACTGGACAAGCTCTGGAACATCGTATGAGGGCAGGGACATCTTCGGAGTACATCTATGGGGAAAGGGCGGACCAGGAAAGCCTGCAGTGCTTTTCCACGGTACTGTGCACGCTCGTGAATGGATCAGCGCACCGTAAGCAAGGCTTGACCCGATACAAAACAAGTCTAACAAGAATAGTACCGTTGAATACGTAACACAGCAGCTCATCCAGGGCTACAAGTCTGGCGACAACGTTACCCAGGCGTTCTTGGACAAATACGACTTTTACATTTTTCCCTTTGTCAACCCTGATGGTAAGCATTAGTATCGACCTGAAACTTTCGGTACGACTTACATCTCTAGGCTTCGTCTACACTCAAACGACTAATCGTTTGTGGCGCAAGAATCGCCAGCCCCCTCCAGCCAATGCAGCCAATCAGACCTGTTTCGGACGTGACATTAATCGAAATTGGGAGGCCTTTTGGGATGCTGACCCACGTGGATCGTCGCCGGATCCTTGCTCGGAGGTCTACCGTGGAGTTCGACCTCGCGACGCGCCCGAGAACGCCGGCCTTGACGACTTCATGCGCAAGATCCGTGATGCTCAGGGTATCAAGCTCTATATCGACTGGCATAGTTATTCTCAGCTGATACTTTTCCCATTCGGCTCCCAAGAGACATTGTACGCGCCAGAGCTCGGCAAATGGACGCAGGCGGCTGCCCTCATGAGTGGAGAAATCCGGGCAAAATCTCGCAATGCTACGACGTTCACGTTTGGTCCCAGTGGCGCTGTCCTGTACCCAACTACGGGCTATTCTGTTGATCACATCTACACAATCGGTCGTGCGGAGTGGGCATATACAATTGAGCTGCCAGACTACGGCGACTTTGGCTTCGTCTTGCCACCGGAGAGGATCAGGCCGGCAGTGGAGGAACAGTGGGTTGGACAGCAAGTGCTTCTTAGTCTTCTCGACGAAGAGTTCTTCACTCAGCCTGGCCCAGGCACTCTTACTCTGTAAGCTGGTATATATATTTGCAACTCGATGTCGCTTCCAACCTAGATACATCAACAAGCTGCAACGTCGGTTCGTTCAGCGTGCAATGAAGACATCAACGATATCCAACCTGTGCCTGCCGCTGTCGCCCATTAGCGACATGCTACGCCTTCTCAGCTTACTATCTCAGTTCTATTGAACTCTTTTGGTCAAACCGCTACAACAGCTCATCTCAACATGAGCTAATCAAGATCGCCACATGAACTGATCGCGCCACCAGAAGGCATAGCAGTTCGTTTATTGTCTGGCTGTCTGATACTCGCATCGTGTTTTCGTTAAAATGGGATTGAGCAATAAAGTGCGTCGACGCGCGCAACATGAGATCACGCCAAGGCTTAAACTGCTAGGACAAAACGCGCAGGTAAGTGAAGGTGAACGCGACTTTCGCGGCAGCTTGAGGTGGCAAATTGCAGATGCGCGTTAGCATATACTCCCGCACCCCGTCCTGACGATCATTCTCATCGCTCACACGCACCACTTGAGCTGGTCTAGAGGTGACGATGATGGGCGAGCTCCAGCAGCAGCAGTCTTCTGACATGATTGATCGCGGACGACGAGCTCACTCCTTTCCAATCTACGAACCACCAAACAAGCCCGCCGACAAGATGGGTCGCTCTTATCGTACGCCGTCGCCGAGGCGAGAGCCATACTTTGCGGAAGGTAGGTCTACTCTCGGCGGCCATCGTTTCGGGGGTTACTGACAGCAGTGCAGGCGAAGAAATCACTCCAAAGCTCAAGTTAAATCTCCGACGTCCTGTCGTGATGGACACACCGCCAGGTTCGCCGAGTGACGGTTTCAACGCGCCGGCAACGCCGACTAAGCAGACGGTGTCGATGACTACGTTCGGGCTTTTGACGCCTTGCACGCCTAACTTTGGCAACTTCTTCCGTCCTGCTCCAGCGAGTCCGACCACTCCAGGATTAACAGACGATTCTGATGTCGGCCAACAGCATGGCGCCTCTGGCAGCGATGTCGGTGCTGGTGCAGAAGACGGTTACGATTCAGATAAGCCTCTTGCCACTCAGTTTGACAAGATGCAACAGCAGATTCGAGACGCTGAGTTTGCTGCAAGCCTTAGCGAAGAAGCCCGTCACGGTCGAAGCCGTCGGAGCACGCGCTTGGCACTGAAGGACGTTGTGAAAGGTAAGCTATCATACCTAATCTCAGAACTGCGTAATAACTCCAAAGCAGTCGCACCTGTCAATACCATCAAGGTGGCTGCGATCACCCAGTCGATGAAGCTAGCAAACCCTGTTGTGCCAGCTCGGAATGTCTCTTCTCCAGAATCGAGCTTGACAGCAGATGCAGTTGTCCAGCTTCCTCCCGATATCAACCCTGCGGTTCTTACCCTGGACTGGCAGCTCCAGTACCCTCCCGGCGGCAGTACGCATCCCTCCTATCCATACCCGCAGATGGATCCCCGTCTGTTCTTCGACCCAGTTCACGTGCCCATCGTCGATGGCCTCCCCAACGTCTTCCGCGTTGCGCCCTTACTCTTGCCGATAGGATGGCGACATGTCTCACGGTCGGGCTTTCTGCCGATTGTTTTCGATCCATACCAGCAGGCATTCAAGCTGACTCCTATCGGACCGCTTCCACTCCCGTGCGAGGAAGTGCATCAAGGAGGGTTGGCTAAGTACGTGCCTGGCGGCAAGGAGCATCCTGAAGCAGGACTGCTCCCCGATATCGCGCCTCTTAGTGATGGCTCCGATGAGATCTACAACTTCGAAGGTGTCGACTGGACTCTACCATGGCCCAAAGGCGAGAACTTCGATGGCTCGGCAAGTACCGGGGCTGTTCAATTGGCGAATGGCTTGCTGTCTCCTATCACAGGTGACAGTCCTTCTTATACAAACATCAATAAGCCGTACTCTCACTACATCGAAGCGCAAGATTGCCCGGACGGCATTGTCGACATCGCAGACGCGTGGCGCTGGCTTACCGAGAGGGAACTCGATCCTACTGCCACTTTTGTACCCTCGCCCGATAAGTCATGGAAGAACACAGGCATCTATCGGACCACACGAGTCGGCAAGGAACCTATCGCAAGTCTTATGGCGCTGGCTCTATCTGATGTCGCCGTCTCACCCAACAACCCCATCGCGTCATATCTGAAAAACCAAAACGGTCGCGTCTTCTGTCCGTTCCGTAGCATGGCAACACCTGTCCACGTGAAAATCACTCTGCTTGGAGAGGTCGAAATCACTTTGGTCGAGCTTCTGAGTTACTTCCCCAACCACTATCTATGGCGCAAATGTTCGGACCGCTTAGTCGGCGCCGGCCTGACTGGGATGGATGTCACGAACTTCATCAACTATACCCGCGGACTTGAGGGCGACGCTACGAGATCGAACAATACCATCAATGCTCAACTGACGTATGAGACCGAAGTGGTCAGCGGCAAGCGTGTGAAGATCGTGCGCGAGCCTCACATCGCGGCTTACTCGACCGAAGGATGGGCGTATACGGCCTGGGAGCTGACAGACTACCCGCTGCTTGGTCTTGCACATGGTCTGAAGCACATGCCCGAAGGTCCGGACGCCGGTCCGTTGACGGCGGCCATGAAGTGGGCACGCGAGAATGGTCGTTACAAAGCTTTGCTGAGTGAGGTGCCTGAGTTGTTGCAGCAGGCCGGACTGCAGCTTCTCATCGAACCTGGCGAGAGTGGCGATCCTGACAAGGAAGTCAAGCCTATGCACGTGGAGAAGTTGAAGAAAGACAGAATCCGTGTGTTGGAGGATGCACGTATGAGAAAGAGGGCAGCGGAGAAGGCAGAAGATGGAAAGCGCAAGAGAGTGAAGACGGAGTGAACGGTTGCTGTCGAAAAAGACGGACGAACAGGGAATGACGCGCAGCAATGAAGGCATGATACTTTTGAAAGTGGAGACGAGAAAGTGTCGGAAGATAGTTGAAGCTCTGGGTGCAAATCCTCGTGGTCATTGGCGAAACACAGATTGGATAAATTTTGATAGCTGGAGCACCACTACGCCATAGCTTTACAATTGAAGCACGGATACAATGCAGTCCTTTTCAATGAGTGTAGGGAATCGCTTTGGTAACGCCAAGTCCGCAAGCCGGTGCCGGTGATGGACATCCGCCCTTCGATCCGATATAACATCCAATGGCTGCTGCATGCTTCATTAAACATTTCTGTCGTTTCTGTCAGCATGTTCACACCATCGCAGCACAGTTTTCTTACCTCGTTCTCGCTAAGTAGATTCATAGGTACGATCGGCTGCGGGCAGTTGCACGGCTCTTTGAACGTTGGCGTGTGCTCGTGGTGATGATGTTTCGTCCTGTTGCCTCGATGTGTCTTGTTCGGCTGCGCATTTGCAGTCGGTACAAGGCTAGCCGCCGGCGCAGCCCACGGCCACGGCTTCGCAGCGACAACAGTCGCGAAGACGATAGCGATGATTTCGAGACGCATGCTGATCGCTGATGTTGGACTCAAACGTGGTGGAGCTTGTCAGTGCGAGGAAGAGCCAAGATCTCGAACCACAAATGCGGGACCCTACGACTTTTCTACATTTTGACAATGCGCCACGCGGCTTACGGGCTGTACGGGTATCTTGCAGGCCAAGTACGCGGCTCAATATGTTTTGATGAATGTTGCATATCGCAGTGCAGTAGGGCGGGCCACTGGGGACTAGGCCGGCTAAAAAGGCGCATCTCAATATAGCAATACGTGATCGATGTGCCGGGCCCGATTGGCGGACGGGAAGAGTCTGGGGAAGAGCCGGTCCTCAATGCATTGCTAGCAGATGAGGCGATGATTGTGACGGCAATAATGAGACGAGGCTGAAGATTTCGTGGATTATGATTCCGGTTCATGCATTTCTGCAAACCGTGGGAGACGTCAATTCTTGGGTATTTGGGGCTTTAGATTGTGCAAGGGCTTTTCGTGTAGACGTCCCATCGCTGAAATGAAAGGTGCACTTCTTCTCAGGGCCGAAGAAGACACCCTGCTAGCTTCCGGGAGTATGGATGCATTGATTTCCTCGTTTGGCGATACGCGTCCGCATTTGCTTGCGCCATAGCTGACGCGCGATGCATGGAGAGTATGGAGCTGTGCATTTCACGCGTCGGTGATGACGCTAGCCTCAGCGTTCCCCAAATCAAGCTAGTGCATTCCTCATGCCCCACCCGGAGCACACTTTCGGGGCTCCAATGTTTCCATCTCGCTTTTCATAAATCATCACTGCAGAAACTGCATCTCGGCTCTTCATCGTCTTTCGTCTATTACACGACAGCAACCTTCGTTATAGTGGCGAACATTAACTAACAATCCGGGATCGCTAATGCTATTGTCGCAGGGCAGCTTCGTCTCTCCAACACGCACTCGACAATTTTCGCGCCCAGATACTATACTTACTCGCATTTTGGCAGTTGAATTTGCTACTTCGGTGCTCCCGTTTTGTGATATGTAGAGAAGTTTTGTGCTTTCTCCGCTCCATACTCGATCATAAACCATTTTGGACGTTACCCACAGTTGATGCAGCGCTTAAGCAAAACAAATCGATGTTGCGCGAAGATGGATGCCAGCTTCGACATGATACACTACGACCAAGATGAGGGTATTCTCCAAAGCATTGTGCTGGATGTAGCTCTCTTTATCTTTTGCAACCCTTTGTCCTTTCACGCTACCACCTTTCACATTTTCACAATATCTTTCAACCATGTTCAACAATGGCGCCACGCGCTCGAGGAACTCATTTCACTTTCGCATACCCTGTTGCCTTCGTGACAGCACGATGACCCACGCACTGTGAAGTGACACTTCTCTACCAATGATCAGACAATCCTTTTCTTACAAAGCCCTCCCTCTCTCCTTCCCAAAACACCTCAAATATTCGCTCTACCAACCGATAACAAGAGAAGACTTCACTCATCACATCGCAAAGTCTCTCTTATCACAAATCAACCCGAAAACATCCAGCAAAGATGAACTACACTCGTCCTGACCGCTGGACTCGCCAGGAGCGTTCCATGTCTCCCGAAGTCTCACCTACTCGTCTGGAACACACCGATTATAGGTCTCACGCTATGCAGCCATTTTTGCATCACACAACAGTTTCTCCACGACCTCAACCGGCACCTGCAGTTCCACCATCAACGAAAGTACAACCTGCCCATGCCGGAGTTCCGCAGCTCACATATGCAAACGTCTTGGACATGCTACGGGAAGCAAAGATAGATGCTGCGGAGCGGTATGTTTCGACACTCTACCTACTGGAAATTCTCCAATTGAATTATGACGGATGTGTCGATGACTGTAGAGCAAAGGAGCGTGGACCTGTTGACATTTTGCGGTCATGTGCCCTTAACGAGCGTAGATTGTTCGTCAGCTATAACATTCATCGGATGGGAGGTCTTGAGAACAAACTGAGTCCTGATATCGAGGAAGATCTTGAGTCGTTCCCATTCCGCTGTGCAGTCGTAACAAACGGCTTCCCTTCACTAACCGAGGATCTGATACCCATTTTTCAGTCAACTGAGCATGCAAAGGTAATTGATATGCAATATCAGAACCCCAGTGCATCTTCTAAGCTCCTGCACCCAGCGGTTGGGAAGGTCAAGACGGACAAGAACAACTACAACAAGCTACAAGGTGCACCTCCTGCCAACCTCGAATTCCCAACTGGCAACTTCACCATTCCCGAGATTGCGGCGTTTCATCCCGAAGCCATCAAGTCCTGGGACATGATCGACCGCTTCTGCGCAAACGGAGGATCTTCAGCTGTCTATACGGCTATGATCAATCACTACAGAATTATGCCTCGCGGTCAGGTGACGAACAACAGCGTCTACCGCATGATGAAGGGCCCAATGCAGAAGCGCGAGAATGTCGATGAGAAGTTCAAGGACTGGACTGTCGGCATACACAACCATATCGAAGGCCTTGAAGAGGTCGATCCCGAGAGCATCAGCGTCACCGGCTTTCGCACCCCTATGGAAGGCAAGAACCCATGCGTAGCCTCGCCAATCCCTATTCGGGATTTTGCCAATGGTGTGAAGACTTTTCCCACTGGCCACGATGCTTTGGATCTGACCCGCGCGGTCCAATACTGCCAGAATCATCCGAACGAGCAGTGGATGTACCCGACCGACTACGAGCGTTTGATCGACCTAATAGGACCAGCCGCTGTGAAGCGAGCTCATCTCGATGGTGCAGCTTTTGCTCGATATACCACAACCAAGTTGGCTGCTGGCGTCAAGAACTCCGTCGGTCGCAAGCGCGATGGACGGGGTCGTCTGCAGAAGGAAGATTCGCACGAGGATGAATACCCGGATACTGAGTCCGACGACGAGTCCGATTCCGATATCGACTTTAACGCCATGGATCAGCGTGGTAGCAAGCGCAAGACTTTCTTAGATGAATCAGACGAATCCGACGAAGGTAATGAGTCTCGCAAAACCTCAGGCAAGCGCCCAAAGCTCGCGCCTAAATCTCATGGCACCGCGAGGCGTTTCAACAAGCATTCGATGCTGCGTCAAGAGGTACTGTCCGATGATGACATTGATTCTGAATCTGATAGCGAGCTCTACCAGGGCCCGAAGAAGATGAAGAAGTTTGCAGAAGTTCGCCGCTCGGGACGTGCTACCAAAGTCACCCAGTCGTACTTGGTTCATCCGGACGATGTGATGGACGACGAGGAGGAGCGCGATCAGTAGGCATTGGAATCTGTCGGTGCCGGATGCAGAGGTTGACATAGATGATGCTGACACAGAGATCAAATCTCATGTTCCATCGCAAACACTTTGATCGATTTTGTCCGCTCCTCGTTGTCATTACTATATCGCTTCCATACGGTAAAGTAGTTTTCGCTGCCGTAGGCGCACCACGTTAATGGTCGCCCGGCAACATAGCATAGCATAATCTCACATGATAAGGTTGTATTCATCTCTTCACTTCGACTGCAGCTTATGTGCCATGTGATTCTCTCAGTAGGTAAACGAAGCGGCTGCGACGTATGTGCAAACTTGTGTTTGCTTCTTCCGAAAAAACCACCTTCACCTTCACCGCTCCCCGCTCCCCGCTTCAGGTCTTGGCGGCCGCGTCTACAAATTTGCCATTGACTCAGACTTCCTCTCACCACAACAACAACTTTATTTCGACTCAGCTCACAAAAAGGGCGTACTATATCCACAACATGGCATCCAGTAGGGGAAGCTATTGGTTGCTCGATGACCGCTACAAGGCAACGGCTCCAACATCTCGACCGACCCCGCTCCCAGAAGCAACATACAACTATGAGTCTCCTTATTGCAAGACCCTCAAAACTTTGGCGAAGCAAGAAGTTGACTGTGAGTCGTGCTACTCAAGCAGTATTGAACGAGGAGTCACTGACACGAACAGCCGACGAAGATTCCTCCCGATCCGTGTTCAACCCGTTCAAGGGAGAAGATCAAGCCAGAAATTCTGACCCGTTCGGTCGAGACAGAGTTCTAGATCTACATTGTCGTCGTCAGTTCTTTCTATAAAACTCTTTCTGAATCTGGACTGATCTTCCACAGCGCAGCCAAGGTCTGCTCCAGCCAGCGTTGACCCTCTTCCGCCTGAACCTCGTGCGCGCAGTGTTCATCAGCAAGCTTACGAGCGCCTCGATGCCAAGAAGAGAAAGATCAACGAAGAAAAGAGACAGATCATGGAAGAGCAGCGTCGCATCCGAATCTGGGCTGGCAAACGCCGAGACCAACTCAAAACGGCTCGCGAACTTGTGCGCAGGGCTGAGGCCGAAAAGCAAATCGCGCTCGCCAATGCCCGAAGTTACACTGGCATTCGCGCGATCCGTCCTGGTCGCTAGCTACCTCAATTATGGCGCCTAGGAGCTCTCATGATGGTTGCTCGAAGTCTTGGTTGCATATTATTTTACGTGAATCGAGCTTTTGATCGAGGGCAGAGTAGGGCACCTGAGGAGCATTACGGCGCACAGCCTTCAAAAATGGTCTAATCATTTCAGCTGTTCCTATTGGACACAGAAGGCGGCGTGCTGGGCTCATCATTGTAAAGTAATTATCGAGGTACTCTGGTATCAGAGAAAATAGGTGCGTCATTGACTTGCCCGAATGTCTTCAATACGCCCGTGAATCATTTTTCTAACATGTAGTTCAGCGGTCAATTCCATCAGTCATGACAAGCTTCGCCTGCATATACGAAAGCTGTAGCATTTGATATCGAAACTGAGCTCTTTGGCAGTCCGGCTTCACTCTCACGCTCATCGCTCATCAGCGTGGACGTGGGGTACATAGCCCTTCGCAGATTCCACGCAGTTTCATCTCTTCCTACACAGCTTATCCTAGCCAGCCATCGAAACCAAATCCATACAGATGCCAGCATTATGTGCCCCATTCCCAAAGAGTCACGGGGTTTCGTTGTGGACGATGGCATGTGCGATTGCTGGGCTGACGCAGACTATACACCGCCTGAGGAGCTCGACCACCTCATGAGTGAACGCGAATGCGAACAAGCGCAGGATGAGGAATCAGGTACAAGACTCAAGAACTATCATTAGGAGTGTGCTAATCCTGACTCGTGTAGAGCTAGAAGATTTCGAGATTCCGACGCCACGCAGGGCTAAATCGTTTCAGCAGCGTCTAGCCGAGAAGAAGACGCGCGCAAAGCGGTTGAACATGGCGAACGAAGCTTGCCGCTGGCGTATGCACCAAGCAAAGACCAAACAAGTCCTACCACCCACTCCCAAGTCCGCGAAGAATCCTACGTCCATGAAGAATATGGCTCCTCCTGCATAGAGCACCCGGCCACAAGCCAAATCGACCACTGAATCATGTACGGGCACTGAATCAAATCAGGCATCCCGCTGGATCTTCGGGTACAACTTTGGCGTCTTACGTGGGCGGATTGGGCGAATGCGTCCGAGTTCGAATAGGTTCAAGACACCTACAAGCAAAGATAAGGACACGTTGTCACAGCGGAGCTTTATGAGTACGGTGACGCGTCAAAGGATTTTGGATGCACTCGAGTGGGACTCAGATTGATTTATCGAAGGGGTGTTCCGGCATCAGTGTTAGTTCGATCCGTTCGAAGATCATGCGAAAGGGGTGGATATTGGTCAGTGACTTGAGCGATCGGAGTCGGACGATTCAGAATGAAGTTTTGCCGTAGTTTGCAGCGGCGAGATAGAGCGAATTCGTGTGCAAGATCCTGGGAGTTAAGAGAATTGATAGCGACTTTTTGAGGTAGATGAGGCAACACTTCGGCGAGCGACTGCGGCCTTCACCACGACAGTAGTTCGTTGACTCAACTGAATGAAATGCTATCACTCAGTCGTGTAAACAAAACCACGGGGTCGACCGTCTCTGATAACTTTCAGAAGCTCCTGGAGGTATTTACATGCTTATCTTAAAGACATGAATCAGGAATAAAATCGAAGCCGTAAACTTCCATCGCGTCGTTTCGTCCGCACGTCGAGGCGCTTGCTCTTAGTTGTGTGGACTGTTTGTTGGCTTCGCGGCAACTAACGGCCGTCACTGAAGTTTGGTACAATAACAGCTAGTCTCATAGACTACCATCCACGATCACCTGCGGTACCATGGTCTATGGGTGAGACATAACTAAGCAGCATAGGTCAATAGAAACAATAGGAACCGAACTTCCCATATATATAGCGCTCACCTTCGTGCCTGCACCTAGTAGTCTCCTTGTTGATTGCGCCTACACTTCAGAACTACCTACTGAATTGAGCAAGCTGACTACCCATCCAACAAGATACGCAGCACCCGGCTGGCAAGCTTTGCTACGACTACTGAGTGCCACAATAAACAAGAGCATAATTTCCACGTCGCCGAAGCCAGCCTGCAAGGAGAAGACTTGCAGAGATGGATTATTCCTACAGACGTTATGAAACCCTAATGATGGCAGAGGCAAACTTGCAGCCTTACGCAGGTCGCATATTGGATGCATCCATCAGACGGCAATTCTTCGACCATATACAAAGGTGTCAAACTCAACCTTACGGTAATGTACCGGGATCGATGGATGTTCCATATCAGAGCCTGGCGACTACATCTAGCAATGACCGGGATCACGATGCCCATATCATGAACGACTGGTATCAGGAATGGTCAACAGCGTCCAAAGATCCGCTCCCTTCGAACATCAGGCCTATGAATATCTTGAGCGAGCCAGTACGGGGTCATCGAAATGCTCCTCAGCACAGGCCAAAGGAAGTCTGGCTTGACCACTACGAACCCGATATGGTGCCGGAAGGACGCGTGCTCCAAAACGTAAGAGCAGAGCGCGAAGAGAGACGCTACCTCGAAGAGGACGCAGAAAGCGTGGTGCGGCAGGCAGAACGTACTATCGACAGACTGGAGGTGATGGAGGCTACGCGAAGGTCTAATGTGGTCGATTTGACTGGCGACTCAGTGGACAAGAGCAGAGATGGAGTATATGTCCAGACCGCCCACAGCCTGAGAGATACGAAAGTACATTTTTGACCAGTAGTCACGACTTTAGAATGTACCATAGGTCTTTTCACGACGACCCGAGCTCTCGCCAGGATCCGCCCAGACAGCACTCCAATGATCTCGATCTTCCGCTTCCTACTTCCACACGCGGTCCTTATCGTATCCAAGCCGATAACATAGAGCATCTGTATCTATGTTATCCGCAATCCACTTTTGCGCCAGGGCGACGGCCATTTTACGACTACAGCCAACCTGGCTCATTCGATAGGCGTGGTGAAATGAATGAACATGGTCACTACGCGCAACAGGAGCCCAATCGATACATGTTCGTACAGTGATTAGATCACCATAGCAACGAAATAAGGCATTTCTCTGTCACTTCACCATCTCCCGATTCACTAGCGCGATCCTCGGTGTACTAATCCGCTCTGGGAACCTTCCCTCTAGCCTATTATCTCGACCAACATCCCCTCGTCACAACTTGCCTCTCTCCACCAGCTCGCAACATCGACCACGCTCAGAAAATACTAAAGCTCGCTTCGATCTTGAAAGGATGAATCTTTCAGATCGACCCAACTCCACGGACAAAGGCCGTTCGAATGGCGTTCTGCCGGAACAAGAGGAGATAGGAGGAACACATCGTCGTCCCTACGGCTCTCTGGGCAATCCAAACGCCACTGGTGGTCAGCAGATGGCTCTCGATCCCGCATATGGTGGTCCTGAGGACTATGCCATGACCTCCGCACAACCTCAGCCCATGCAATTGGGTGACTCCGCTAACGGATTCGGACTTCACGAACAGCTAACTTCTGCTGCCGCTGGACCGCCGCAAGACGAATCTTCCAAGAACCCCAAAAATGCGATCGGTAATCCATACGCACAGAACCAATCCATGGTCGCCGCAAACCAGCCCCCACAAGCTCCACCGTCCTTGAGCGAGCCTTACCTACAATCCAAGCCAGACCACATTTATAACATGCCTGGAGGTACATTGCTTCAATTCACGCTTGTTGAAGTGATTGCCTTGTTGGTCAATTGGTTCAAGGTGTATCCTGACTTGGCTGAACGCTTCCTGAATAACGGTCTTAGTTCGGCAACACACATAGTCATCCTGGAGGAGCATCGCAATGTGGTCATGACAGAGAAGGATCGCAACCGCACCAAGGACCTCATCTCTGACGCCAATCGTCGCTCGATGCGTAAGATTAGTGAGGGCTGGACGAAGGCCAAGCACAAGAAGCCGGAGGGTTGGAATGGCAACACTCTATCAGTGAATCATCTCACTCACGAAAAGGGTGTTAAGGCTCGACCGGTCCTGATGAAAGTTCTCATGAACGACATCAAGCATCTTCCACAAGGCGATGATGCCGGAGATCTGACTCGCGCTCTCGAATATGCCATGAGCAACCAGAAGCGTGGTCCTAACGGGGAACCACTGGAGTGGCTTTTCCCTGATGATCTCCATACCATTCTTGGTCACATCGGGTACACTACGATCACACAAAATCACCTTGATGGAGCCGCAGTCGCGCGATACGACAAGATTTGCAAGCAGAAGGAACAGCTTGATCGCAAGCGTCGCCGCGAATCGCAGGAAGCCGGAATGCCTCCTCCCGCTTCGAAGCGTCGAATCCGTGGTGAACGCAATGCTGGCGACAACCAATCTGGCCAACCGGTTTTCCAGCCATCTGCACAGGGTACACTGTCTACCCTTCTATCTACTGGGCCAACTCCATCCGGCTTCGTGTTTCAGAGCGGCTCGCGCATGATAGCTCCGCAGCCATCATTTCGGGATGCGTTACATGCTTCTATCGAACCCTCCCTACAGGACCACAATGCAGTACGAGAGACAGATGCGCGTCCGAATGCTGCGTTCGCACATCAAGCAAATCAGGCTGCTATTCCGACCCTGAGCATGCCTTTCGCATCGTCTTTCGGTGCCAAGCAGTACAACTCAGCGCAAGAGCACGTTGAGCGGCCGAACGCTGCGTTCGCTGAACAAGTAGAGCAGGCTGCTATCCCAACACTGAGCATGCCATTTGGATTGCCTCTCGCTGCAAAGGAGCAAGTCAAGGAGCATACCCCCGACATGTCCAACGGGCTCAACCAATCCGCTCCAATCGCTTCTCCTCCAAACATACTATCTGTCCAGCCAAAAGCCGCCGACGATACCTTCTTGTTCGCCCAAGAAGATGTCGACATCAGCATTACAGAGATCGATGCCATAATAGCTGGAAACCAGACCTACAACTTCAGCGATCTGCTGGCTGGTCCGTTCTCTGACTTCAGGCCAGATTCTATAGCGGGGATCATGCAGCAGTATCCGAAAGCGTATCCACTCACTCAGGTACTGGGCGAATGCGTCGAGGCCGATGATCTGGAGGATGAGGGCGTTGTCGCTCGTGCGGCGCGTTGGTGCCGGGATCCTGATAATTTCGCCAGCCACTATACAGTGCGTGATCTGGGGTTTGTGGTGACGCTGCAGAACCTTGTGGAGGACGCTAAGAAGAATGGGTTTGATGGATCTGTGGAGGACGCTGTGCAGTAGGAAGTTCTTGGGGAAGCACGGACAAGCGGACGCGGTGACGTTGTGTAAGCGAGTGGCTGCGTAGATTGACGTAACTGGGTTGTTCCTGAAGTATTTTCAGAAGAACTTGAAATAAGTTGACAGACATTGTCGAGATCTTGGCCGATGATGCAGCCGTCATGTGAGGTCGTGTTGTCTAAATCGTGATGTTAGTCATACCAGTTTAAGATGTAACCGCACAGTTAGTCCTGCACAACTAAAGATTGAGTGGTAAGAAATAGTTTTGGTCTGCCATTTCCCGGTTCGACAACCTCAACATAGCAAAAGTCCGAAACTAGCGCCAATCGGTACCGCGTCAGTGTACTCGTGCAGAAAAAGGTTAAGACCCAGAGAAACATCTGTTTCTCGAATTTTCATATAAACCCGGCCTACTCGTACGACTCTTACGATAACCAGAATTACCGTCTCTTCACCACACTCAGCATTCGGTCTTCATTCTGTCAACTTTATCGACCTGCCCTTAAGTTAGCACCGTCCTATCGTCAGACATGGCGGCGACCGTAGTCATAATGAGTGGCGGTGTAGCCGCGCAAAATAGAAGAAGAATAGAGCAGGCGCAGAGGTGTTATGCACCTGAAATCGACATAGATACAGCTCCACCAAGCGGCCAGCCTCTGCCCCAACAGGTGCGCACCGTGTGGATCCGTCAAATCATCAACGATGAAGATGCACCTTTAATAAACGGAATCAAGTGTGTCAAGCGGTTCCTGAATCCTCTTGAGTATCTGGATCAACAACGTAAGAGGAAGCAATCCAAAGTCCTCGAGGATGTCAACGCCTCATCAGCACCACTACACCAGCTTCCCGTCCAAATTCTTCAGCGAGTGGCATCGTTCATGAGACCTGAGGATGTATTGGCTCTCTCGATTACGTGTCGCTGGTTTGCCGTAGTTCTTCAGAAGGAGTTGCAGATTTCCATCGACACGAGATGGACTCTTAGGCGGAGGTTGTTCGCGGAGAGATGGAAAGAAATCGCAGACAATGAGCGAATTCACTTCCCTCGAGGCCAGACGATGCTTTGTTTTCGTTGTCTTAGCGCACATCTTGTCCTGGAGTTTAGTATACGTGAGCGGACGCGCAGTGCGCATGTGCGCTGGTGTCTCTGGGGACCGGAAGAGAGGGTGATGATCAGGCGGAGTAGAAATGGCGCCTGAGGAAGTACAAGTTGGATCTGAGGAGGGTCGGACGATCTGCCTTCGGCGCTGGTAGAAGCGAGGAATAGCGCATACATGGTAAGAGAGTGGTGTGAAGGAAGAGTTGGAGGACAGGTGAATAATGGGTATATTTGAGGAGAAGGAAGCTGGTGTCAAGATCGTTTGTACTAGCCTGTCTACCTCCACGTTGTTATTGAGCATAGCATTAATCGTCGGGGAGACAAACGAGACCATTCAGAAACCACAATCGCATACGCTGCTTTCCCTGCCATCGGCATTGGAAAGCAAAATCATCAGCCTCAGATCTCCACCTTCCACTCCACCCCAACATCCTCCTCCCACCCGCTCCACTCCTCCCTCGCCCTCTTCGCAAAAACCTCCTCGCCCAATTTTCCCCTCAAAAAGTCCACCAAACTCGTCTGTCTCGTACACCACTCCCAATAACCCCCGCCCTCCCTTTCACTCCCCTCTGCCGCAAGCCACGCCCCCGTCTTCCCCCCCTCATCCGTCTCGACACCGATATACTTCTCCGTCGCCTTGAGCACCGCAAACCCAGGATTCGACAACCACACACGCCAGTCAACGTCAAATTTGCTGAAAATCGGACTCGAGGTGAAGCCAGGCGTGAATGCGTGAGCTGAGCGCTGGGAGCCGGTGGCGGCAAAGTGGCGTTGTAGCAGGAGTGCGAAGAGGACTTGCTGGGCCTTGGAGTGGACGTAGGACGGGCCAGACGACTTTACTAGGTTGAATTTCTCGGAGATGAAGGCTTTGATGGTGGATACAAGGCCTGCGGATGGGGGTTGCGGGGGCTGCAGAATCAGGTCGGAGGCGAGGTGGCCGGTGCTGGACGTCATCACGATGCGTGCGGTGGGGGAGAGATGCGGTTCGAGGAGCTTTGTCATGAGAAATGAGCCGAGGAAGTTGGTGACGATGACGAGGTCCTTGCCGTCGGGGGTTGTGTTGGATATGTTTTTTGGTGGGGAGGCGATGCCGGCGTTGTGGACGAGAATGTCGATTTTGGATCCTTCTCTTGCCCACCGGTCGCAGAATGCGCGCACAGAAGACATGTCGCTGGTGTCGAGTTTCCAGCAATGGAGTCTTCCGGTACAGCTTTCGCCGATGGTGGTGGTGATCTCATTGATTGCTCGGTCTCCTCGTTCGAGACTGCGACATGCCAAATAGACCGTTGCTCCTTGTCTTGCAAGCTGCTTCGCGATACTGAATCCGATACCGCTGTTTCCACCCGTCACGATTGCAATTTGGCCGCTCAAGTCGCGCTTTGAGACTGGTTGAGGTGTGTAGAGCTTGGCGAATACAAGGGCGCCCAGTGACTTGAACAGAGAGGAGTAAAACGATGCGTATAGACTGAGCGGTGCCATTCTGAATCAAATTGAAAGGAATTTCGCAATGTTTGTCACCCCCATCTGCGTACGCTCGTCTTCAGTATATTATGTATTGCGGCGTAGTCGCTGGTTGCCTAACGCCCGGAAGCAGTAGCGACGACGCTAGCGCTAGCATGACGTGATGATCCTGAAGCACATTGGCTGCGTCTTTAACACTTGGAAACTTCATGTATGAATACAAACTATATTCGCATTCGCGCACCTCGCATAGCTAGCTGCAGACAGCTAGTCCATCTCTACACAGACCTAAACCAGTCTTGGTGTCTTTCCGGCTCTTTCGATTTACACATCGTTGCCGACGACTAGTACCGAAAGTCGCCGCGGCAACACCATACCCACCAAATGCTCGCCCACCCCGATCGAAGATATTCTCAACTTCTCCCACTTGCTCTTCAACTGCCGTTTCCACCTGCGATACTCCATCAGAGACTTTCAAGGTTGCACATGTCTATCAGACCGCATGCTCAACACCATAGTATAAATATTCGTGATGCTCTGGTCATGCAGTAGTTTTCGAAGCACAACAAGGCACAGGCGGTGTTCAAGGGCATGGCCTTTGTACTGAAGGATTGGGGCCATGATGATGGATGTGTGTACTTGAGGGGACTGTGCGAGTGCATTGTGGGCGTCTCTGATGTTCAGATATGCTTGCTGCTAGACGTGCTGTCGCTGTGTTGTTGGTGATGAATTGGTTACACATGAATGATTTTGGTTTTCTTTCGTCATGCCCTGGCGGAGAGGGAAGAAGGCATCAGAAGATCATGGCTGCAAGATGAATGCACGTTGGTGTTGTGTATTCCAAACAGCTCGTTGCTGCTCTTCACCACCTGCGTCGTTTGCAGCATCCAGTCACACCGTCCCCGTCTTCACAGGCCGATAAGTCGTTTGCAAAGCCACCACATTGACTACCCGACACGCGTGTTCTCCACATCCTACACAATCCTCCTCTTCCACAGCGGCCAGAACAAAACCCAGGTCAGCACTCTTGACACCATGCCGACAGATGAACACGGCCAAACCCACGCCGGCACCATCGGCCTCTTCGACGACGCCGACGAGTACGCTGCTACCGCCTTGAGCTCTGAGCGCCGCGAACGTCGAGAACTTGAGTTACAAATCCGCCGTCTTGGGCGTCGTGCGGATCGACAACATCGTAAAGCAGTCAGAGCTGCAGAAGGCAAGACGAAGCTACCATCGTGGCTGGCGAAGATATTTCGGATCGACGAGAAACCAAGCGATGACTGCGACAGAACGATAACATTTACGGAAGAGTGGATTGTGGTGCGCAGGCCAGTGACGCCGGAGCCGGAGTACACGGCGCAGGATATTGATCCAGTGGATTCGTTGTGGTTGAGGGAGTGTGGAATGGTGCGGGTGAAGTCGGATGATGCCGGAGGTTGTCATATTGTGCCGAAGAGCAGTGTCCAGAAGAGTGACTGAGTCAAGGCATTCAGAAGGCAAGCTGCTGCTTACATTTCTTTTTGTTGTGCGCGTTTCTTCGATCGATACCTCGATGAAGGCGTCCAGGATAACGTATGCGCCTGCATTATCTCGATGGACGAGAGTGATTCGTAATGTCCAAATCATGATTGCATGGGGTACCCCAAGTAGTAGAGTCCTGATCCAAATGTGAAGGCTCTTTTCCATCGTGAAGTACAAGCTCGTGCAAGGGCGCGTACTACTCCAGCCGCCCTCAACGCGATCTCCCAACACTCATAATCTTATCCTCGACCTTCTTCAGTAAAACTTCCTTCTCCCTCACCGCCTGCGCCCTCTCATCCTCCAGCCCCTCCAACTCCTTCTCCAGCTCTTTCATGCGCGCAACCTGCTGTTCCTCGCTAACATTCAGCCCGGGCAAACTCGCAATCAGCAGCTCCACTTGCTGCTGCTTGACCACAATGTCGCGGGAAAACTCCTTGAGGTCTTGGTTGAACTGCTCGGGCGAGATTTTCTCGGGCACTGGAGGCTCGGCGGGTTGTGGTGGGTTGGATTGTGGGTTCTCGGATGCGGCCTTGCCCTTGATCTCGGGCATGGTGTCGACACGGTGTTGGCCAGGAGGGACGCTGGGTGGGGCTTGGAGTACTATGTGCGCTATTTGGCGTTGCATCATGTTGAGCAGCTGGCTGGGTTAGCAGGCCATGTGTATCTCAGTGCATTGGGGCGCATACAGCGTCGAGCTCATCTTGGATCTGGGTGAGCTTGTCGCTCATCTTGCGCGTGTATTTTACGGTACTGTATTTAACAGTATTCTGGAGTATGGTACGCAGATGTTTGCGTAAGCGTGGAGTAGTGTTAGGTCCCGTGCAATGTCAGGATGGTAGCAGACGTGGAATGCGGAGCTATGGCGGGAGAGCTCCATAGGGCTGAGCTAAGCTAGCGCGTCGCCGAAAAGTTACGCGACTTCATCTCGTTCCACTCTGATCCAGTACCAGCAGTCCATCACTCACTGCGCTCTGCACCGCGTCTTCAATTCACAGTAAATATGTCACGAATACGTTCACGCAATCTAATACCGTAATGCGACCCTCCCTCCGCCCGCCATGGCCCATCAAAACACAGCTCCTCCGCTGGCACCCCCGTGCTCCGCAAAGCATCCCACGTCGCATCGCAACCACTTCTGCTGCCAATGCTGCCCCGATTGACATCCCCAGTCTGATCCTCTCACCTGGCTCCAAGCACCACAACTCGCTCTCTTCATACGTCGCATATGCAAAGCAGCGGAAACTTGGACCGGACAGTCCAATTTATGTCGGCACCCACTACGAATACACAGTCGCCTTGTCGCTTCTCCGCCTGGGCTTTTCCCTGCTGCGCGTCGGTGCAAAATCAGATGCCGGGATAGACCTCATAGGCCACTGGGTCCTCGCTCCTCTCCACGAACCTCTGCGCGTCATCATCCAGTGCAAAGCCCGCACCATGTCTGTCAGCCCCTGCCACCTGCGCGACCTCGAAGGCTCCTTCCCCGGCGTCCCCCCTTCGTGGCGAAACCAAGACGTCCTGGGCCTGCTGATCACCACGCAAAAAGCCACAAAAGGCACCCTCAAAGCCCTCGGAGAATCCCGCCGTCCCATGGGCTTCATAATGATCTCGCACGATGGGCGCATCCAGCAAATTCGTCTGGAACCGCGCCGCCGCCGAGCGCGGACTGGAAGGCGTAGGCGTGACTGTTCGACATACGCCTCACATCCATTCCCCCACAGACCGCTCCACCACCCCAAAAGCCGTCGAAAAACCCACCGAAATCAAAATCCGCAGGCACGCACAAAGACATCCAACTCACCTGGCTCGGCACGCCCATCTTCCCCGAGCGCGAATCCCTCGACGCCGACACGCTCGCCCTGATGCGCCAAATTCATCCCAAACCGCCCTTCCAGTATTATCAACGAGTCGAAACACGTCTCTCGTCGACGAAAATCGACGCCGCGCTGCGCGATCCTGAGCCGCGCGGCGGCATGGTCGATCCGGAGTCGGCGGAGAAGGTTACGAAATTGGCAATGCCGGAGAGCAGCGAGAAAAAGCCTAGGGGGAGAGGGAGGCCAATCGGGAGGAAAAACAAGCCCAAGGTTAAGCCACGGGGGAGGGGGAGGCCCAAGGGGAGTAAGAATAAACCCAAGGGGGATGCGGAGGCGGGGTGAGGTGTAGTACTTGTGGATAATCAGTGTCCAAAGCATGGATCGTAGACTGGGCGGGGAGGGGTGGGAAGATGAGATGGAGAGGATAGATACACGGTGGTATGGGGATGGTGGGGCAAAGAGGAAGGGGAGATGCCAGCTTGATACCCACTCCAAAACTTCTTTTTTTTTCCAGCAAGAGGGAAGAAATGAGACGCTACTCATACCAAACCTCGCAGCAGTCGAGCATAGAGACCAACAATGACAAGAAAAAGCAAAGTCCAATGGATTGTGCGCCTGCCCACACCCACGTCCCCAGAACAACTAACTGCAGATGCGAACTGCTAACATGACAAGAATTCTGAACATTGACAACATTCTACAAATACATGCTCCAAAAACACGCACACTTGTATGCAAGTCGCATCCATCATATAAACATCTCCCTCCAACGCCTTCCTCCAAACAAAAACCGCCATGCCATCCAACCCATTCCCCTCCTAATAATCAAACCGATCCGGCAAAACTAACGGCGCCACCAAGCTCCACGTATAAATCCCATAGCACACCCACGCGCTGATAATCTTGGCCCAACTCGCCCAATACGTGCGTCCGACGGGCACAAAGCTCTCCTGGACGTCCTTTTCGTCGAAGTTGGTCGTCAGAAGGGTAGCCACCCACGTGGTGCTGAGGAAGAAGATGATGTGGAAGAGCGTGTAGTTGTACTGCGTGGCGTTGCGCTCGTCGTCGCGCGGGTTCTTGACGGGGCCTTCGTCCTCGTCGTCTGAATCGGAGTCGTCCAGGGCGGAGGCGGGGAGCGAGCCGGATTCGACGGCGGCGCGGAGGGCGGCTTGGCGCATGTCGCGGCGCGATTCGGGCTGTTGGGTTACGAGGCCGTGTTCGTAGTCGTCGGTGCCGACTTGGTTGTAGCCGTTGCCGTGCGGGTTGCCTTGGGAGCCGAGCGCGAGGCCGTACGTGGCGGCGCGGGTCGTAGTGTAAGCGACTGTGACGAAGGTGACGATGGCGCCGATGATGATGGTGGCTTTGCGGGTGCCACGAGCGCGGATGAGTGGGTTGCATTGGTGGTCGTCGGGCTCCATGCCGACGGCGGAGAGGGTCAGGTAGGTGCAGTAGACGGCGACGATGGCGGACTGGGCGAGACCGGCGCGGGGGTTGACGTTCTGCACTTCGGGGTGGATGGACACGATGGACGAGACTAGGAGTAGAACCAAGTTGATCTAGAAACATTAGCATGTACTCAGGTCTGCAAGTTATTGACTTACAGTAATGGCTGCCTGGTTCATGCCGCATCCGCTCCTGGCGAAGAAGATGTACATGACGATGGTCATGGCGAACGAGGCCAGGTACATGGTCAGGGCAGATCCGACCAGCATGCCAGTCCACACTCTCGACTCGGTGACCTCAATCTTCTCCTGGCAGTACTCAGCCCAATTGTGCGCTAGATCAACTAGCAGAATAAGACCAATGAGCAGAAACAAGCACGCTCCGATCATGGCAAAGTAGTTGCCCCAGACGATGAAGAAGGTGTTCGGGATGAAGAAGGTCAGGACAATCATGCCAATCCAGCCGAGTATCTTTGGCGCCCAGAATCCGTTCTGGATGGGCGCGCGACCGTCCTTGGAAGACCGCACTCCGATGAGCATGAGGGCCATGAGGACGTGGAAGAAGCCGAGGGCGAAGTTGATGCGCTGGACCGCGACATATCCGTAGCACTGCTCGCCATGGCATTTGATGTCGACGTAGTCCAGAGTGAGGTGGGCCAGCTTCTTCATTGCCCAGTCCGTGAGCATGATCCAGGATACGATCGAGTTGATGAGTAGGATGAGCGCGTATGCGATACGAGTGGCGATGCTGTCACGTTGTCAGTGGATTTCCTTCACCAAGAGACGTTGTACACACCTGTTACCACACTTCCCTCCGCAAGAGCCCATGACGGCGCTGCACGTCGCAGCACCGCAGCAGGAGGCGGCAACGCTCCATACCTGTCGCTGTCAGCATCGCGCAGCCACGTGCATTCATCCTACATACCGTGCCCATGGCGGGCATAGCCAGAAAAGGCAGCGACAGTAGTGCGCCCATGATCGCGATATCGTGTTGTGGTGGTGTTGAGGCGTGACTGTCGGTTGTGCATGCGCATGACGTTCCCCAGCACCTGCGCGCCTCGGCGGCTCTTCCCGCCAAGCCCGGCAACGTTATCTCCGACCAGACGCCGTGATCGTCCCAACTCCACCGGGAAGCCCACCATGTGTCGTCGATGTGTCACTTGAGGCTCTTCCTGTGACTGCGCGACGATAAGCTTGATAGACGTTCCTTTTCTTCTGCCACCATACCGTGTTCTTCTCTCACGCTCCCACTGCTCTTAACCTTCCGGAACTTTATCCCGACACAGTTGCGACTTGCGCGACTTGACAGCTTAGATACTCGATGATCTCGCAATTGCGATAACACAATATCCCTTATGACCACCATGGTCGCTCAAGAGGAAGTCACCACTCACAAAAAGACGCGTATCATATCTGTCGTTGCTGCAACAACAATTGCGCTGGCTTGCGGGACGAATGTATGTCACTCCGATCAAGAAGACGAGAATAAGCTCATATTTGATAGTATGCCTACTCAGCATGGGCTCCTCAATTCGCCGATAAACTCCAGCTATCTGCTACTCAAAGCAACATCATCGTACGGACCCTCGAAACCCTCCACTGTACATCATCTCACATCTAGTAGGGCACGGCTGCGAATCTCGGCATGTATGCTTCGGGCATTCCCATGGGTATCATAACGGATAAGAGAGGACCACGTCCGGCGGCAATTATTGGCATGGTCACGCTGCTGGTCGGCTACTATCCCATCAAGCTCGGTAGGACGAAATGTCTCCAACGATGCTACAGGGCTGACTATTGGCAGCATACGATAAGGGCCCGGGAGGCATGAGCGTAGGATTGATATCATTCTGCTCGTTCTTGAGCGGCGTGGGCAGCTGTTCGGCATTCCAGGCCTCGCTGAAGACGGCAACTCTCAACTGGCCGACACATCGTGGAACAGCGACAGCATGTCCATTGGCCGCCTTCGGACTCAGCGCTTTCTTCTACACCGTCATCGCAGGATTCGCCTTCCCTGGCGACACCTCTGGACTGCTAATGTTGCTATCCCTTGCAACATCTCTTCTCGTCCTCGTTTCGATACCCTTCTTGATCGTCGTGGACCACCAGAAAGGCGCCGACTACGCCGCCTTACCCACCAGTGAGAATGGCCGGCGAAACTCAAATCTGCTCCACCGGGCAAAGTCGCATGGTACTCGGTACAAGGCATCTGCGGTACCACAACCTGAAAACAGTAAGTTCATCTCGTTATTGCACATACCCCTGCCCCGTCACCTGCCAACCACATCCGCAGATGAAGACGATCCAAGCGGTCCCTCCACTGAAGAATCATCCCTACTATCAGTCCCTGGAGACATCGTCGATGAAGACGATGCGGCAAGTAAGAAGTCGTCTCACTCACACTATATAGATGTTACTGGCCTAGCGCTGCTTTACAAGCCGGACTTTTGGCAGCTTTGGGTTCTACTGGGCTTGCTCACTGGTGTTGGGCTGATGACTATCAAGTAAGTAAGCGTCACAATCATTCATGCCATTCTCTAATTGTTGCAGCAACATCGGCCACGACGTGCAAGCACTCTGGAGCCACTGGGACCCGTCCGTCGGCAAGAAGTTCGTCGCAGATCGCCAACTGTGGCACGTCTCGATCCTTTCTGTCTGCTCCTTTCTCGGACGCCTTTCATCTGGCATCGGCTCTGACCTCATCGTCAAGCGCCTCCACCACTCCCGCTTCTGGTGTGCCGCTATCTCAGCCACTATCTTCTCCTTCGCCCAATTCTGCGCCATCCGTATCGAGGATCCAAACTTCCTCTGGGCCGTCTCGGGACTTACTGGTCTAGCGTATGGCGTGTTGTTTGGCGTCTTCCCCGCTCTTGTAGTTGATGCATTTGGGGCGGACGGCTTTGCTGTGAATTGGGGCTTCATGACCATCGCACCTGTTGTCAGTGGCAATATCTACAACCTCTTCTACGGCGCCGCTTACGCATTCCAACTCAATTGTCGAGCCGGATGGCCAGCGTGGGTGTGAGTTCGGGGCTGAAGTGCTTCCGCACAGCGTACTATGTCACGCTGGTATCTAGTGTGCTTGGCATTTTCGCATGCTTCTGGGGTATTTACACAGAACACAGGAGGAAGGAGAGGGTGTTGGAGGAGTATGAAACACACCGCGATGCATAGTCCGACAACAACATAGACTTTCAACAGTAACATGTAGATTCCCTATATCTAGCTAGCCCCGTAGCATGATGAACGTCGCCTTGTCCCATGTCTTCATTACTCCAAGACGAAATTAACCCCGCAAACACACACACACACACACAGCTGAAAAAAATCGTCTGAAACTCCCTAATCACACCCTTATATCCTAACTCCCGTCCCGACCAAGACCCTCATTTCAACTTACTCAACCCCCTCCATCTCCGACAATAACCTCTCCAGCGACTCAATCCCGCTGCGCACCCGCTCTTCAAAATCCTCGGTCAGCCCGTCATCGCGTTCGCGCCATTCTTGCTCTACGCCCTCGAATTCTAGTGCTGCTGCGGAGAGCAGGCGGGACCAGTGTTCGGAGCGCTCTGGGGAGGGTTAGATGGGAGGATTGGGAGGGGAGGAGGGCGAGGTGAAAGGTGGGGGAGGAGGGTGGATGGCGTGGGGGGAGGGAAGAGGAAAGTGGGTGATGGTGTAGACAAGGAAACGACAAACGACCATGGTAACTTTGAGGGGTATATTATGGACGAGGAATTGAGCGGGTATGAGAATGGTAGCGAGGTAGATGGGGTTCGGTTGTGAATATCGGAGAGGATAGGAGTATACCATGGTATTTGCGCCAAGAGAAGGCAAGCGGGTAGTATGTTGGTGGTAATAGTTGCAGTTCAGGGAAGGAAATGAGGGTGGTGGAGAGAAGGGGATGATGGTGT